TTGCGCCCGATGGGACACTAAACAGATTCGGGCGGAAGTGAACTGCTTCAGCATACGCTGCGTTGATCACCTGGCGGGATGAATCGAGATCAAAATTCCCTATACGTAGATCACACTCTGCGTTCTGGTAAGGTGGCAAAGGAAAGCGGGGTTCTTCCCTGGGCTCATCGTCCGCCAGTGTCGCTAGGAGAGCTACTTGGCTGTCCGTGACTGTGCCGTGGGTCACCTGATCCTGTACGTGAAGGAGCTCAGCCGAGTCAGCACTGGAGTTAACAGGGTCTTGTACGGGGGTGCTGTGCCCCGCTAAAGTAGATCTACTAGTACCTGAGAGGCTGGCTGTCGACGGTTGGAGAGCAGGCGACGGTGGGTTACTATCCTCTGCTGTCGGTCGAGTAGCTGGTTCGAAAACTGGTACGGTACGGGTCACTGACGCTGTGGGCGGTGGTTGTTGAGATGACGGTTGAGACGGTTGGGATGTCGGGCCGGGTGAGCTGTTGTTTCGGCATCGATTTTTCTTGGATGGGAGACAATTCCTGCATCCTCGACCCCCTTGTGGCATTCACACCGGACGCAGGTGCCGCTGCCATTGCACCGGCAGCAAGTGGCTCTCTGTATCAGCTGGTTTGCCGGCCTATGCCGGAGCCGCGCTGGAGCCGGAAAATCCACCGAAAAACTACAGCTACAGAAACGCGTGCCTACCCTGAAAACCAGAAAAAACGCCGTAACACTGTAACACTGTAACACTGTAATACTGTAATACTGTAACACTGTAACACCGTAACACTGTAACACTGTAATACTGTAATACTGTAACACTGTAACACTGTAACACTGTAACACTGTAATACTGTAATACTGTAATACTGTAATACTGTAATACTGTAACACTGTAACACTGTAATACTGTAACACTGTAACACTGTAACACTGTAATACTGTAATACTGTAACACTGTAACACTGTAACACTGTAACACTGTAATACTGTAACACTGTAACACTGTAACACTGTAATACTGTAACACTGTAACACTGTAACACTGTAATACTGTAATACTGTAATACTGTAACACTGTAATACTGTAATACTGTAACACTGTAATACTGTAATACTGTAACACTGTAATACTGTAATACTGTAACACTGTAATACTGTAATACTGTAACACTGTAACACTGTAACACTGTAACACTGTAATACTGTAACACTGTAACACTGTAACACTGTAATACTGTAACACTGTAATACTGTAACACTGTAACACTGTAATACTGTAACACTGTAACACTGTAATACTGTAACACTGTAATACTGTAATACTGTAACACTGTAATACTGTAATACTGTAATACTGTAACACTGTAATACTGTAACACTGTAATACTGTAACACTGTAACACTGTAACACTGTAATACTGTAACACTGTAATACTGTAACACTGTAACACTGTAACACTGTAATACTGTAATACTGTAACACTGTAACACTGTAATACTGTAACACTGTAATACTGTAATACATGTACATGTAGTAGTACTGTAGTACACACACTTGAGAGGAATCAAAAGCGTTTTTGCTTTAACTCTGAGTTTCACGGGTTTAATTGATCATCAGACAGCATTGATGATCGGTTGAAACCGTGAAGCTCAGAGCTACAGCAAAAACGCTTTTTGATTCCTCTCAAGTGTGTGTAAATATAATTATGTCATTGGCATGAAATTAAAAAAAGAGAGGACCATAAGTTTACAAGTTATCCGTTTTGTCCAACACTTACGATGGATACTGTTGCGTCAAAATGATAACTTGTAAACGTTTGGTCCTCTCTTTTTTTAATTTTAGTCGTTGTCTCTCCATCTGAGTAACATGTACATGTACATTGCCGGGCATGAGGTGAACAATCCGGTGAACAATGCGGGCAATGGTGATTGCACAGATCACTAAGTATTAATATTATACTCATTTGTTCTGAAGTACATGTACGCATACATGTATGCATGGTGTATGGGCATGCGCGTAACCTCTGCTTAGTGCTCATTCGAGTTTACATGATTGCACACGTACATGTACAATGTGTGTGTGTGTTTGTGTGTGTGTGTTTGTGTGTGTGTGTGTGTGTTTGTGTGTTTGTGTGTGTGTGTGTGTGTGTGTTTGTGTGTGTGTGTGTGTTTGTGTGGAGTGTGTGTGTGTGTGTGTGTGTGTGTGTGTGTGTGGAGTGTGTGTGTGTGTGTGTGTGTGTGTGTGTGTGTGTGTGTGTGTGTGTGTGTGTGTGTGTGTGTGTGTGTGTGTTGCCAACCTGTTGGAAGGCTACCTTCTTGCCGAAGCATAAAAGGAAGTTGGACTAGTTTCGGCTCCACAATCCAGTGTGTCGTTACTATAATAGCTTTCATGGCTTAGGGTATTGGTATGTCTGTTGGCTCTGGGTTCCCAGTACAGTACTCAGTAGCCGAGGCTGGTTGGTAAAGTAACTCCAATTTCACTTCAAGGTACCAGTGCATCTAGTGTCTGCTTCGATCAAAGCTGGTTACCCCAGCAAGTGTCAGGTGTGCATAGGTGACTGTCTTGGCCGGTTTGTGCCGACGTACTCCGTGTGGTGTAGACCAGGTGTGCATTGGTGGTCAATTCACATGGCTTCGCCAGTTGTGTGGATTAGACAGTTATCTGGCGCAAGTCTTGATCTGTCCCATTCAGATCTTGTTCTCTATCGTTGTTATAAGAGAAAATCCGTGGGTGCACATCCAGTGCATTTGTAGATTTGCGTGCTTCTCTTGCGACGGGCGTATACATTGTACATGGTACATGGTGTGTGTGTGTGTGTGTGTGTGTGTGTGTGTGTGTGTGTGTGCTGCTGGCTGGGGCACATTGCCCGTATGGAGGAACACCGCACTCCGCAGCAGATGGTATTTGGCGAGTTATATGCCACTCGCCCCCGCCACGGTCCGAAGAAGCGATGGCGTGACGTTGTTGTCACTGATCTAGCTGCGGCCCAGATCGGAGAGGGAGAATGGTTCCGTCAAGCCCAGGATCGCCCAACCTGGAGGCGGTTGTATCGTCAGCAGCCTCCTCCACCCGGACCGAAAGAGTTCCAATGCGCATGTGGCCGTCCCTTTGGCCGCATTGGGGACCTGAAGAGGCACGCCCCCCACTGCCGCGTCTGAGCCATCATCGCTATGCGATGGGCGTCCAAGGTCCAAGGTGTGTGTGTGTATGTGTGTGTGTGTGTGTGTGTGTGTGTGTGTATGTGTGTGTGTGTGTGTGTGTGTGTGTGTGTGTGTGTGTGTGTGTGTGTGTGTGTGTGTGGAGTGTGTGTGTGTGTGTGTGTATGGGGGGGGGGGATTGCATGACCATGAATCCATAGCATACATCAAGAGAAAAAAAAGAGGGCAGTGCAGCAGCCTTTGCAGCATCCGTGTTTCACGTCGGGGTATGCCGTAAAAGGTACAGTTAGGGGTATGCCGTAAAAGGTACAGTTAGGGGTGTGCCGTAAAAGGTACAGTCACGTGGGGTTATGCCGTAAAAGGTACAGTTGAATGAATGAATCACCGTGCAGTGACAGTACTAGTAGCTTTACTCGACTAGAAAACTTAGTAAAATACGACAAAGAGAGATTTAAAAAGTGAACACTGCCCCTGTTTCCTAGTTGATAGGCCCTAGTACTAAGGACACTCAGCTATGTGCCGCTCACTCCCCCCCCCCCCACCCCATCCCCTCCGCATTCCCTCGTTGGTAGGGCACTCGGGTTGCATGCCGCTCAATCCCCACCCCCCCCCCCCATCCCCTCCGCATTCCCTCGTTGGTAGGGCACTCGGGTCTGTGCCGCTCCCCCCCCCCCCCGATCCCTCGTTGATAGGGCACTCGGGTATGTGCGCCTCCCCTCGATCCCTCGTTGGTAGGGCACTTGGGTATGTGCTGCTCACCCCCCCCCCCCCCCCTCTCTCCCCCACCGTTCCCTAGTTGGTAGGGCACTTGGGCATGATACCTCTGAGTATGGCCTGGTACAATCAGAAAGAACTGCTCAAGAACAAAACTGATGCCCTTCCCGTACGTAACTCGTTATCCCTTTCCCAGTATGGCAGCGGTATCGAAGTAAAACAAGTATATTCACATGTTACAGTACATGTACAACCCGTGGAACAAGCATGTATAATAATAATATTCGCGGGATCCGCGTTAGCATCACTTGAATGTTCAGAAACACACAAGGTATAGCCTTTGCTTCCACAGGCCATCATGCCCACCACTATGCCTTTACACCTTAGTGGCGAATGCAGACCTCACAAGTGAGGCAGGGGAGAGGAGGTGAGTCTCTCAACCAGTCGGGCATGTGCTATGCTTATATAGTGTACATTGTACATGTGTGCATGATTGTATACCATGCAACAAGCATGCATGATGCTTGCACCGTGTACATACTATGCAACAAGCATGCACGATGCATGTACCGTGTACATACTATGCAACAAGCATGCACGATGCATGTACCGTGTATAGTGCATACCATGACTGTAACAAGCATGCATGATGCCTGTATCGTGTATACAAGTATGCAACAAGCATGCATGATGCCTGTATCATGTATACAAGTATGCAACAAGCATGCATGATGCCTGTATCGTGTATACAAGTATGCAACAAGCATGCATGATGCCTGTATCGTGTATACAAGTATGCAACAAGCATGCATGATGCCTGTATCGTGTATACAAGTATGCAACAAGCATGCATGATGCCTGTATCATGTATACAAGTATGCAACAAGCATGCATGATGCCTGTATCGTGTATACAAGTATGCAACAAGCATGCATGATGCCTGTATCGTGTATACAAGTATGCAACAAGCATGCATGATGCCTGTACCGTATTGTGTACCATGTACATGTATGCATGGTGCCAAGAGCCCTCCAGCCATGCAGTATGCAACTATTGCAGCAAAAAAAATACATGTACGAAGTACGACACTCCGTCCGGACTCCAAACGACATCACATGGCTTTACCAGCGTTGGGTGCAGGTCAGAAACAATCATTCCGCACGATACAGATATACAGTAATCACATCTGAATGTGGCATGTGTCTCATTTGCCAAGATGACCAATTGCAACACACAGCAGGCTATCTGAGAGTTAATCTCGAACAGACGCAGCCGGTAGCCGGGGAGCTACCGCAATAAAGGGGAATCGAAATTCTAACCATAGCTAGCAGAAACCATAGCAGCTATGGCTTTCTGGAGTAAGCGACGAAGAAGCAGAACGGTTGCACCAGTCCGGAACGCTGTCTGCTAAGTAATTGGCAATATGACCGGTCCAGATCATCGACTGATGACATCGCTTCAGTGGATATTCAAAGTAAGGAGTAACAATATCACATTGCTCGTGGTGAAAACGTGTAATCACTCAAATAAAAAATATCATGATCCCGTAGACGCATGAGGGTGTTTTTTTTATCACTAGCTTAACTACAAGCGTAAACAATCGTACCTGGTGGATCACCTACAAGCTTACAGCTCGGGGTCGGCCTCGCCGCTGGATCCCAAGAGAACGTAGTTGATGACACCCATACATTTGTATCGCCTCCCTGATTAGAAAAACCAAGAGTGGCCCTGAAGTTGGAACAACGGCCACCGTCGTAATCGGAGTACACGTTGCCGCAGAGCTGGGTATTGCCCAAGTAATGGACGCAGATGGAAATGTAATCTGACTTTGTCCACGAACCCAATGGATGATAGTCGTTACAACCTGCGGGTACTTTGTCGGCGTTCGTTGTGGTCAATGATGACATCAGACAGACACCCTTATATAGCCATTGTGGGAATGAGCACTCTGGTGAATATTAGAGACAGCAAAACAAACAAAAAACGCACAGAAACACAAACATGCAAACAGCACACACACACACACACACACACACACACACACACACACACACACACACACACACACACACACACACACATACACATACGTACACACACACACACACACACACACATACACACACACACACATACACACACAGAATACAGAAGTAAGTTTTTCAACAAATTCGAGGGAAAGCACAACTGCCCTCTACTCCGGTGCTTTGTCATTCTAATCTACCGTATTTTTCGGAGTATAGTGCGCACCTTTGTATAACGCGCACCCCCAATCTTCATTGGGGATGCGCACTTCAATCTTCATTGAAGTACATGCATTTCATATTCGGAGCATAGTGCGCACCTGCGATTTAGGGCTTAAAATAGCACATCTAAAGTGCGCACTATACTGCGGAAAATACGGTAGTGCTTTAGCGTCGCCGAACATGAAAATACGGTAGTGCTTTAGCGTCGCCGAACATGAAAATACGGTAGTGCTTTAGCGTCGCCGAACATGAAAAGTGTAATACAATCCTAATGTAGACCAAATTTGAAATACCATCAATGACTATTCTAAATACCATCAATGACTATTCTAAATACCATCAATGACTATTCTAAATACCATCAATGACTATTCTAAATACCATCAATGACTATTCTAAATACCATCAATGACTATTCTAAATACCATCAATGACTATTCTAAATACCATCAATGACTATTCTAAATACCATCAATGACTATTCTAAATCCCGCTTTTAGCTGAAAGAGCTAATCGGCTATATTAGGTACATGTACAGTACGTATCGCCTATAAGGTTGGCGGCTATAGTAATATACCGGATATAGTGATCAATTTCTCAAATTCATTTTCATTTGCCATAACTAAGTATACACAGTTATCGCGTATAGTAATAATCGTCTATAGTAATATATCGCCTATAGTGATCAAATTCATATTTCAAAAGACCTTTATTACACTATTTTTGCATCGGTTATAGTGATTGATGTAAAATCAAGCAATTTCAGAGGAGAACAGGGTGTCACTTCTTCTTGAAGAACTTGTCCAGTGAGTGTTGTTTGGTGAGTTTTGCTTGTACAAGTTGCCAAAATATGCCTCCATCATGAGGAAATCCTGATTTTGTGTGTCAGGAGCTACAGCCAGCTACATGTACATGTACATGTACATGTATGCAGTGCGTATGTGCACGGCGCGCTGAGTCGTTTGATACCCCACTCGCATACATTGCATGCAGTATCGGTCATAGTAATATATCGCTTATAGTGATAAAATGCTCAAAATCAAACACCAACGCTATAGGCGATACTGACTGTACATGTATATCCGAGTTCAATTGGCATCAGTCACGGACAAGGCCATGCACACAGTAATACCGTAAAAGCCCGTTTTTATCGCCCAACCAGGATAATGCCCACTAGCCGTGTACACACACAGGTGCCGGGTGTCAACCCTCTTGTCCCGTTTGCTAGCCCACCCCGGTGTTAACCGTGGCCAATGGGTGAAAGCACAGACCCAGTACACAGTGCAGTGCATGCACAGACCCAGTACACAGTGCAGTGCATGCACAGACCCAGTACACAGTGCAGTGCATGCACAGACCCAGTACACAGTGCAGTGCATGCACAGACCCAGTACACAGTGCAGTGCATGCACAGACCCAGTACACAGTGCAGTGCATGCACAGACCCAGTACACAGTGCAGTGCATGCACAGACCCAGTACACAGTGCAGTGCATGCACAGACCCAGTACACAGTGCAGTGCATGCACAGACCCAGTACACAGTGCAGTGCATGCACAGACCCAGTACACAGTGCAGTGCATGCACAGACCCAGTACACAGTGCAGTGCATGCACTGTACATGCACATGGAGCTGTGCATGCACTGCACATGCACAGCTCCATGTGTATGTACAGTACTGCAATGTAGTGTACAGTACACAGTACAGTGCATGCACAGCTCCACGTGTATGTACTGTAGTATGGTGTACAGTACACAGTGCAGTGCATGCACAGCTCCACATGTACAGTCAACTTCGCTAATAACGACTGCGGATATAACGACAATTCGCGAATAACGACCGAATTTCCATGCCCAGAGCAAAGTCCCATCTAACTGTATACATTTAACTTCGGATATAACGACTATCTGAATAACGACAATTCGCCTATAGCGACATGCTTTTAGTGCCCCGTGGTCATATTCACTGCTTGAATAACGACTTTCTGGGCTTTTGACAGCTATTTCAAGTACCTGTCAGTCAAGTACATGTACCTGTCATGCAGAAGTACCAGAACCTATGGTGATAAAAGGCACACATGCAAGAAAATGCAGCCAAGGGGGGGGGGGCTTTTTTTCCTTTTATAATGTTGGCTTCAAAATTGTTGGATTTACCAGCACACCTATATTATGTATACAATGTTCATGTAGTTGTACATGATTGTACAGTAATCATCATACATGTACATGTCCCTGGCCCTGTAGATGGCTCAAAAAGGCATATTTTTCAATTCATTTCCCTTGCATATTGAATTTTTAGTTCCTTGCAACTGCAATTGAAAATAAAGTACACATTGACATAGAGCAAGACAAGAGCTTGATTTTGATATGCATATCATACTACACAAAATATGGGTTCACATACATTCAAATGGGACTTCGGTTATAAGGACACTTCGCGAATAAGGACACTTTTCTGATGCCCCGCCGAATGTCGTTATTGGCGAAGTTGACTGTATGTACAGTACTGCAATGTACAGGCAACTTAGAATGTGGTGTATAGTACACTGTCCTAACCTTACCGGCATACGTACATGTACATGCGGGAGCATGGCATGATGTGAACATAGGTCTGATTTCACTTCTCCGAAATAACGCCCGGGCCCGCAATAGCACCCGGGCCCAAATTGACACCCACGTTTTGGACCTTCACTGATGTTTCTGCCCAGGTGAAGTGATGGATCTGTCATTGTAAGTGATTTACATCTTTGTGCACAAACCGATTTTTCTTTGTATCTGCTGTTCATCCTGGTAACTTATTTCCAGAAATCGGCTAGGTATTGAGGAGTGGAGAGAGGTTTGTTGAACGCTGTGTCCACTACCTTTCAGTGGTCCACGAGAATAAAAAAGTTTATCGTGCCCTCGACGGAACGAAAAATGCCAAGGTAGACCTTGAATTTAGGCCTGCTCCTGTTCGATAAATGCACAACCTCCTCTACTACTAATACTTTGAAGTACTTGAAATATAACCAAGTGGTTTTCAGTTGACTTTGATTGCCCTAACAACGTACGTTATTTTCTGAGAAACTCGGTGTTACCGGAATTGTTTCACTTATCTTTGTTTCTCTGCTCTTGTGTATTATATTTCTTTTTTATTATATTTTTCGCTAAATTTATCTGCCGTTTCGCAGTAAAACTGCTTTGATCCGGACGTCCCCAATACGGGCACTTTTCTGGCCCATCTGGAGTCACAAACAATGGCTTCTACTCACCTCCACTGCTTGGAATTTAGTTTGAGCACTCTGGCAAGGTATGTTCGGGCCTGGTTTAAATCTGGCTTTGGAAATTTATCTTTCATTGCTATCAGGTTTGGCCTCTCTTTCTCTGTGCTGCGATGATGAGTCCACAAAGGACGAAACAGTTCTGTCTGCAGATTGAGTAATTTGACGTGTATAAAATTAATCATTACGGGTACCAGGTTTTCTTTCTAGTTTTGATGCAAAGTATCCAAATTTCAACTGGAACTAAACGCTCCCAGGCAAGACGAAAACTAGGTACTTCTCGCTCCTCAATCTTCGTCTTTTTAAAAACTATCCTAAGACTCTTGCCTGCTCGATAACTAAGGGTGAAATAGGAACCACTGAAAAAACTGGTGGGGCACCGGGGGGGGGGGGGGGGGAGGATAATTCATTGTGTTCACCTAGGGAAAAAATGGAAACTTGTCAAACCATAGATAACAACTTACTTGATACGCATTTGCCAGCTGTACACAGATGATACTGTTCACAGTCATTGTCCTGTTGGCACACCTTTCCAGCAATACACTTGGTCGTGCACGAACCACCACAGTCAACGTCTGTCTCATCTCCATCTTTCACACCGTCCGAACAGCTGTTGATGATGAAGGTGGGCTTTGGCTTGGCTTGGAACGGCACTTTGGTGTACGTGGTGGTGACTATGTACAGGTCTACATTAGTGGATACAGATCTCTTTGTACTGGCCGTCCAGACTGGGATGGGACAAAGGACTTTTGAACTGGAAGATGCACTCAATGGAGACGTGTCGGCATACTGTGTGGTGATGAGGGCATCGCTAAACCGACACACATAGCTGAGACTTGTATCCAGTCCAGCCGCTATGCAGAACACACATACACACACACAGACACATTCACGCACACGCACACACACACACACACACACACACACACACACACACACACACACACATACACACACACACACATATGCAGACACACACACACACACATACACATACATACACACACACGCACACTTGTACTTGTACTTGTTGCACACTGCCAAAACTGGTCACGTGGGTCTCCCCGGGAGAGGGGAGAGAGACTCAAAAGGAATCTTGGAAAGATGACTCAATTGGCTATTGAACCGCCCAACGGCCGACACCCCCTGAAATCCCCAAAACTCTGGGTGGACTTGAAAATGATCCCACTTATGGGCTCACCACACCTCAGTAAGTGGGTGAGGACAAGGTGCAGAAAAAGGATTGACAGCATCAGGGTATCCGTCCAGGGATCCAACTGCAGTCACCCCTGCCCCCAGTGAAGGTAATACTTGCTACTAGTGTGGGCGGCTAAATCAGAGTGGATCTGATAATAAGCTTCACTAGCACCATTGATTACACAAGAGTTAATCTAGCCAGAAGCAGTCCATGGTTAACAGGTATGTATACTTCAAATAGAAAGTATATGAACCCTGAAGCCAACAAAGGTGGTAGGTACAACATTACACCTTCAAGTAGCCGAGCCCGTTGGCAACAGACCCAACACTATCCGGCATAAGTGTACCCACCACACGCACACACACACACACACAAACACACACACACAAACACACACAGACACACACAAACACACACAGACACACACACACAATGTACTGTAATGTACTATACTGTACTTGATGATTGTCATGACTGGCCACGCGAGTCTCCCCCGAAGAGGGGAGAGACTCAAAAGGAACCTTGGAAAGATGACTCCATTGGCTATTGAGCCGCCCAACGACCGACACCCCCTCAAATCCCCAAGCCCTGGGCGGACTTGGAAATGATCCCACTTATGGGTGTGGAGGCAAAGCAAACGCGGGCAACATTCTGCTGAAGCGAGCGAGGAGCTGAAGCTGGATTGGTTACTGACGTACCTGCTTACTCCACAACACCGGCGCATAATGATGTACATGTACAAGACTTCGTGCGCATTCAACTCAAATTCGTGTTCCGTCAGCGTCAGCAAGTACATGTAGTACAATTTGTGCCCACAATAACTTCGGGACAGTCTGTTCATGGTTTTCATTCGTATTGGACTCGTTCTCTACACTTGCGATAATTTAGCGGCAATTCTAACGTTGTAGCGTTGTTCTCTTGTAATTTAGTGGAACCTGTATTGAGTAACTGAGTTTTATGTTTCGTTACATTGTCGACAGATCTCCTGTGTACCGGTTTTGTGGCACAATGATTATAGCCATTTGTCGTCTCCATTCTTGCGCAATCATGCATATGTAGGTTGGTTCTCTTCGTGTTATTGTGACCTATTTCATACTATCATAGATGTTGGTTGCCTTGTTGCATTCTCTCCCCTCTCCTCTCACCCAAGCCATTCTGATTCTGCATGAGCAAAGGTGTGGACGCAGCATACTGCTCCTACACTTCAACGAGGGAATGCGTATAATAAATAATAATAACGAGAGAGCTTGGAAGCTCAGGGCCCTGCGCTATGCTTTGTTGCCTAGCTCATCGTGCATGTTGTTAGAACTGATGGAAATGCTTTTTCCTTTGATTAGCTACATCATTGTATTGCAAAAATGTTTCAATGAGATACTGAAGTAACGTCTTCTGCATAGCTATGGGACCGGCGCTGACTCTGCCGATCACGGGCGCTCTGGAGTCGACGGGATGTCTGTCCTGACGTTTCCTGGGACCGGCGCTGACTCTGCCGATCACGGGCGTTCTTCTTCTTCTCATTATTATTATACTGACGGCAACTAACATCCATTCTGATTGCATTTACTCGTCTCCCTACTTCGTATTTCTTTCCAGAAAATCTCCCCATACAGCAGGGAGTCGTTTACATAATATGACTCCCTGCTATACATCTTCATGACTGCATATATGCTATCGGCCTACATGCGATTCCCGGGCTGGTCGACAGGCGGCCCAGCCAGCCTGCTAGTGGGATCTCGGCCTCGCACACAAATCCACACAAAATGTTACTGCACTGAATGCATTCCCCCGATACACTTCGCATATTATACACATTATCTTGATGGTACCGTACTATTGATGGTACGGGACAGGTACGGGATAGCGCCAGGCATGTCGATGGCACAAACAAACAAAAATATTGTGGCCAGCTGTCTTTGCTGGTACGGTACAGTACGGGACAGATACGGGATAGCGCCAGGCGTGACACAAACAAACAAACAAATAAACACCAAATTAAAGCTGTGTGGACCCTGGCTAGCGCCAGACGTTACTGAAGTAACGTCTTCTGCATAGCTACGGGAATAAGTATCTAATATTGACTGAGTACGAGGTCAATATAGGAAATAAAAGCCGAGTAAAAGACCGAGGCGAAGCCGAGGTCTTTTACGAGGTTTTTATTTCCTATACTGACCAAGTACGAAGTCAATATTAGATTTATCACGACAAACAGTCCGTATTTCAAATTCCAGAACGATAACCTCATGAATCCCGGTTTTATGATGGCACAACCGTTGCACCACCACCTACTCATGCAGTGACAATGCTGCACTAGGCACCGTTCAACTGCGCAACCCCTAAGCAGTCAAATATAAGCAGTCAATATAGCCCTAAGGAGTGAAATATGCTGGAATATTTGACTGCTCAGGTATGGCAAAAGTCTATGTGAGTCAATACTAAGGTAGTGATAATTATGATGTATTCATGTAATGAATTCAGTTTAGCGTAGGCGCACATCTCGCAACTAGGTATCTGCTGCGCTACAGCGCCCTCTACGGTTCTGGCCGCGGCACTTGTTTAGCGCGCCTTGCCGCGACCGGCAAGACCGCCTGCTGTGCATCACATTAATTTATGCGTACGCCATCACAATAATTAATTCAGTTTTGATCGGGTCCGAGTCCGCAACGTGGCACATCTCCTTGCCATTCTCAGTTTTGAGTCTTCTCTGCTTTGGCTCATGCCCGACTTGCATCCTGCTGCCTTTGTCTTTTGCTGACCCACCATCCCACCACTAACCATTAATACTACATTGCATCATTCCTACTTCAAGTACAATAAACCTGGTGGCGAGTCACTCATAACTGGTCTGCCTTTCTATTGCGGCATTATGGCCTTATGGTCCTGCCTTTCCATTGCGGCAATCACAGCCTCCGGGCTTCTGCCTTCCTGCGGCAATCACAGCCTCCGGGCTTCTGCCTTTCTGCGGCACTCGCAGCCTCACGGGCTCGTGCCTACCTTGCGGCAAAGACCAACCAGTTCCTCGTCACCAGTACTTACCCAACACAACCTAGCCTTATTCGTGTGGTGTATGCCTGTCTGCATGCCGTCTGTGTGCGCGGAATGCTAATGATGTATGCCTGCCTGCATGCCGTCTGCGTGCGCGGAATGCTAATTATTATTATGAAGAAAGGAGAAGGAAAAAATGTTACGAGTTATGACTGAGCCTTCCAAGTTGGAAGGTTGTTGGTTTGCGCCTTGGAGAAGTGTTGGAGCTAGGTGTCAGGTCGCCCAATGTCTCAGTACTCCTTGTCAGTTTTGTGCCATTTTGTCACACTCGCTGACTGTACAAGATCTGGTTACGTTGGTGGACAGTTTGTCATAGCTCGTAACATTGTGTCCTTCTCCTTTCTTCATAATAATAATTTTTTAGGAAATTAGAGGCCACATGCCACGTACTGCTCTAAAATTCCTAAAAACTTTGAAATCCTCCGTGAAGTCCAAATTTGAAATTGAAATCATAATAATAATAATAATAATAATCTTCATTAGTTTGAGGGAAAGAGACATAATAATAATAATAATAAAAATAATAATAACATGGGCTCACCACACCTCAGTAAGTGGGTGAGGACAAGGTGCAGAAAAAGGATTGACGGCATCAGGGCATCCGTTCCTGGATTCAACTGCAGTTACCCCTGCCCCCAGTGAAGGTAATACTTGCTACTAGTGTGAGTCGCTAATCAGAGTGGATCTGATATATGCTTCACTAGCAGCACTGATTACACAAGAGCTAAAAAAGGAAGAAAAGGAAAACATTGATTGTTTCTGAATTTGACATCACATATATATATTTTATTTTATCAGTCCATCATGGTATTACATTGGCTTCATTTGTTTTAACCATTGCTTTGCGAAAACATTGATTCTCATATTTTTGCTGCCATGTCTATCAACAACCTAGTTGCACATGAGTGTCTTGTTAAGAAAACACATTATTATCAAATCTTTATTATCAAATCATTATTATAAAATCTCGATTCACCACAGTAGCCAGCATAGCAGAGTTACGAGGTGTCAGCGAAAAACCGAAAAATCATATTTGTTTCGACCCATGATTTGGGAAGAGAAGAATCACACTCACTCCCTGAGGTTCAACGTGCACCTTCCTAAATATTCCGAAAATGGGAGCAAGGGTTAGAGAGCCAGAGTTTAAGTCAATGACCTTCACTACATTTTGCCGGCAGACCACTTCACTTACTGACCCCTATATAGGCTAGTGTCTATATTTCTATGTTGAGTACAATTGCAGACTAGCTCTATAGTGGCTATGTTGGGTACAATTGCAGACTAGCTCTATAGTGGCTATGTTGGGTACAATTGCAGACTAGCTCTATAGTGGCTATGTTGGGTACAATTGCAGACTAGCCCTATAGTGGCTATGTTGGGTACAATTGCAGACTAGCTCTATAGTGGCTATGTTGGGTACAATTGCAGACTAGCTCTATAGTGGCTATGTTGGGTACAATTGCAGACTAGCTCCATAGTGGCTATGTTGGGTACAATTGCAGACTAGCTCTATAGTGGCTATGTTGGGTACAATTGCAGACTAGTTCTAGGCCCAGGTTCCGCATCAACAGAAATCAATATAACTGCAGCCCCATGCCCTGGGTCTGTATGTCTGCATTATCAACAATTGATGTCACTGTAGACACATGTCACCTAGGCCCTGCTCCGAATCCCACCAACAAAAGCCCAGACTCACCGGAGAGTTCCACACTTCCAACTTGCATAGAAGCACCCGTTACACCAGCTGTAGAATTGCACAAAAAAAGCAATGTTTACGAGCAAATATCACATTACTATTTCGAAGTACTTTGTAGACTCGCCAACGCCAGTACGTACCTGACCTATGGGTAACCATGGTAACACGTGTATATCATTGAACAACACACAGCATATACCTGACCTATGGGTAACACGTGTATATCATTGAACAACACACAGCATGTACCTGACCGATGGGTAACACGTGCATATCATTGAACACCACACAGCATGTACCTGACCTATGGGGTAACACGTGCATATCATTGAACAACACACAGCATGTACCTGACCTATGGGGTAACACGTGTATATCATTGAACAACACACAGCATGTACCTGACCGATGGGTAACACGTGTATATCATTGAACAACACACAGCATGTACCTGACCGATGGGTAACACGTGCATATCATTGAACAACACACAGCATGTACCTGACCGATGGGTAACACGTGTATATCATTGAACAACACACAGCATGTACCTGACCGATGGGTAACACGTGTATATCATTGAACAACACATAGCATGTACCTGACCTATGGGGTAACACGTGCATATCATTGAACAACACACAGCATGTACCTGACCTATGGAGTAACACGTGCATATCATTGAACAACACACAGCATGTACCTGACCTATGGGGTAACACGTGTATATCATTGAACAACACACAGCATGTACATGATCACTGTCTTCGGCTGCCTGAATATTGCCGTCATAGGGTCATGACACTTTTGAGAGGAAGCAGCAACAAATCCCGGGTGGCATGAGACAAGGTGTGTGTGCCAGGATGGGAACTCATAATCCTGTCAAAGAACCAGTGCCACGGTCACTTGCATGATCCGTACTTACACAACTCGGCAGGGACAAGGGAACTGCCGGTAGGGGCAGGGCAAGGGAACTACCCCATAGGGCAGGGGCAAGGGAAGTACCCCGTAGGGCAGGGACAAGGGAACTACCGGTAGGGGCAGGGGCAAGGAAAGTGCCCCGTAGGGCAGGGGCAAGGGAAGTACCCCGTAGGGCAGGGGCAAGGAAACTACCAGTAGGGGCAGGGGCAAGAGAACTACCCCGTAGGGCAGGGACAAGGGAAGTACTCCGTAGGGCAGGGGCAAGGGAACTACCGGTAGGGGCAAGGGAACTGCCGGTAGGGGCTGGGGCAAGGGAACTACCCAGTAGGGTGCAGGGGCAAGGGAACTACCCGGTCCTGTGCCCCTCAGGGCTGTGCCCCCCCCCCCGAGCTGTGTGGCGAAGCTGCTGCTTGTGAGGCATGTTGTCTGTGGAGCTATTAGTCCATGGGGGACTACAAAAATGCAATTCTCTCAGGAAACCTGTGCGTGAGAAAGTACTTGTTAAAAAATCCAAGTGCCACAGTGCATGTACATACTTACTGTACATAGTTGCCTGGGATGTGTGAAGGATTAGAGACACCAACACAGGACAGTAGACAAAAGACATGGCGACGGATGACCAGAGCGGCACACAAAGACAAACACAAGAACAAGAGGAAATACAGAGTGTGAGGGTGACAGTGAGGAAGTCCGGGCAAGGTACACACACCTCGCACTGGGCATGCAGACCGTTACACAGAACAGGATCACTAACACTTATCAGGGAATCTCCAGCAATACTGCTATGGTCTCCTTATCCCATCTATGCAGATCTTCCCTCAGAAAGTGAGTGAATAGCAACTGAATAGAGCGGTTGTCAGTTGACAAACCCCCTTTATCTATGCAGAACTTGTGTTGATTATTCATGCAATTTGTTTTCAAACCTCTTCATCGTTTTGTTAGAGTTTGACCTTGGTTCGTTGAGAAGGAATAATTGCCAGTTTATTTGGTAAAGTAAAAATTAATACTTCCTCCGCGTCATGAAAATTGTCGCCTCCCGAATCAAAACTTTTCGTGACTTACTTCGCTTTGTCGGGTTGTCGGAATCGCCTTTTCCCATGTTCCGTAGTTGGTCCGACTCTTCCTACGCAATGTCTACTAGTTATACGAGCCGTGGCAGTGTCGGAGCTTCCGTTCACAACAAACAAATGCATCCATTTCCGCACGATTCCGTCCCAGAACGCCGAATCTTATTCTGCGGTTCATGCCGATCCACATCGTTCGCCTGGGCATCTGTCATGACTTCAAGCTTGGGCATAAGAATCCTGGTGTCTCTCCTGAATTTCAAACTGCTGAAGGTGACGATGGCAAGAACAAAGCATCAACAAACTCCTAGAAAACCGCCACGTGTGGCGCGTGTTGCTGCGAAGGCGGCAGGCCTGCAAACACCCACAAAATCTGTAAAGCGCTTGACGAGGAAAGAAGGTGGGGACTTGCTCACCCCATCTCGCTGGAAAGTCGCTACGGCGTACTTCAAAATGCTAGGTGGCCGTGATCGCCTGCCACCTGGAGGCATGGATCACTTCAGAAAGAAGTTTCGGGAGCTGAATATGAACCCGCGTCTTGTTCAGCGTCTTGTCAAGAGCTATCGTGAACAGACTGAGTCGGCCTCAAACTCTGACAAAAATGTCGACCTCAGCCGCAAGCGCAGTGAAGTGGGAGGCCACAAACTCAAGCTCACAGTCGACGTAGCGAAATTTCAACGACAAGTACTGGGGCAAGTTGTCAACAAAGAAACTCAGCGGCAAACTCAATGCAGCTGGCCATGAGTGCACCACCACATCAGTGCGTAGGTGGTGCAAAGCGCTGGGAGCGACTCGCCGCCGCAGATATGTGAAGCCGAAGCTGACAGCTCAACATCGATGCAACAGGATCCGCTGTGTAATTGACGAGTACGACAAGGACACAGGAATGTTTGGCAACAATGAGAACACGTGCCGCTGTGATGAGAAGTGGTTCTATATAATGCGTGACGGTACCGTGGCACGTGTTTTCCCTCGCTTCACAGAGACCAACGGCGAGGTTGAGCGAGTCGTAACAATGCCCGCAGATCTGAAGATCTACCACAAGGCCAGAATGCCCAAGATCATGTTCCTGGCAGTCACGGCGAAGCCGCGTCCTGACCATGAGTTTAATGGTAAAATTGGCATTTGGCCTTTCACCATCACTCGAAAGGCGAAACGAAGAAACGCAAGGACTGGGACGGTGGCTGGAGAGACTAATGTTCTTGAACTTGTGACTGTCACAGCTGAAGAATATCGCAAGGTGATGCTCAGGAAAGACGGTGTGTTCGACAGCATGCGAGAGAAAATGTGCTGGTTCAAAAGGAACTCAGGTGAGAAGGAAGCAGGCACGACACTCTGGTATCAACATGATGGTGCGAGACCTCACACTGCAAAAGCCAACCAAAAGCACTGGGCTACACATGGTGCCAAGAAGTGCTTTGATATCCGTGTGATAACGCAGCCAGCCCAGTCGCCCGATCTGAATGCCAATGACTTGGCATTTTTCTCCAGCCTGCAAAGTCACACGGAACTCGCGGCCAAGGACAATGTTTTCAATTTATCAGACGCAGTGATCACGTGCTGGGAACAGTACCCTGCAGAGCGCATGACTGGTGTTTGGCGATGTTTTTACGCTTCGTTCAAAGGGATTTTGAGCGACGACGGAGGCAACAACTACAGCCATCACACAGCCATCACACAGGCAGCAGAACGGCAAACCGAAGATCGTCCTCCGAAGGCGACGCACACAGTCCCGCTGAGCATCGTTGAGGACGCGGAAAAGTACGTGGACGAACTGGAAGAAAGCTTGCTCGGTGGAAATGTTGGTGAAAGTTGCAGCGACTCTCCCGCTTCAGATGCTGAAGAATAGTTATGGAACTGTCGTTTCACACTTGTAACATGTAATTTATGCCCTGTACTATGCTCTGCCTGGATTTCGAGCTGTTTAGTTTGCTTTAAGCGGATAAAAATTAATTTGAAAACATCGCTCCGGGATGCAACAATTTCAATGACGCGGAGGAAGTAGAAGATAGCAACAGACCCCCCACCCCCACCCTCTCCCCTGCCCGGATTTTCAAATGTGATATTCTATCCTGCTATCCAAGTTTGGCTCAGTCCATAATTACACAAAGGCAGAACAACAGAGACCAAAAATCTTTCTCGTTACTCGGAGTTTCGTGTTCATAAGTCGTCTGATGAGTGTTTATGAACACGAAACTCTGAGTTACGAGAACGATTTTTGGTCTCTGTTGTCCTGCCTTGTGAAGTACGCTCTGCACTTGTTAGAGTATTGAGTACCATTTGCAGAAAGGACCTCAGACACTTTTTCAATCCATAATTATATACTTTCCCATGTCTATATCATTTCAACAGCACATCACAAGTGATTGCTGATACCTTTACAAAACCAACACATTTCACCTGATAAGAAATATTTCCAATGACCACATACCGTCTGCCACTGTGGAAGTCCAACAAATGGAATCTCGACTTGTCCAAGAAACCATAGAGATATTGTGACTGGCTCGCTGAAAGTTTTGGAGTCGGCGAATGTCCATTCCGGCACTGTGCTGTATTTGGAAAGGACATGTACAATTGGCAGACTGAGCATACTACACGTGGCCTGATTCATAACTACTGTACTTTAATATTCCTGATCTACATTATTTCTTCCTTTTTCCGTGCATATGAAGGGATCACAGATTCTGCAGGAGAAACTCTCTCCTCAACCATGAGCAACCGTTGGCGGCTGAGGATACTGCCCACTCAAATAGGCCAGCAGAGTGGGATTAAGTTGCAAATGCATAACGTAAAACTAACAAACTATGCAAACTCAGTGTACACAGTCAAACATCAAGTGTTTTAATAGTCTGGTCAACAAGACAGTACAAGCTTGAGTACACAAACCCAGTGATTCATGACAGGGTTCGAGTACACAAACCCAGTGATTCATGACAGGTCTATTTCAAAAACGCTGATGAATAGATGAACTTCTAAGTTAGTTTGTGTTGATGAAAAGACATGGCAAATACTTGGCAGCAGCAGCAGCTTACCAAACAATAACGTAGTATGGTCCGTAGGCCATAGTAATCCTGGTGTATTCTGATATGAGAGTTTGCCGACTAGATGAAATCTGGCAGGCATACGATGGGGGACTTTGCGTGTTATATAGGTCACCAAAACCTGTGCACAAAAACAGGGCAAAACGTATCCTAGAAATAAAGCCGGTCCCGATTGGAAGGTCTTAACAGCGGACACATGGTGGGGGGGACTGAGTAGGGGGGGGGGGAGCTGAGTAGGGGGGGGGGGAGGGCTGAGTAGGGGGGAGGGCTGAGTAGGGGGGGGGGGGCTGAGCAGGGGGGGATAGTATGAGTGTTAGGGTTGGTTCACATATCGCCGGTACGCACCGAGAGTCCCCGCGGTGGACGTCTTGCAACCACTCCTGGCACATCGTGATTATGTGAACCAGTGCAGTCGTAGCAAAATCATACGGTAAAGACACGCAAGGGACCGCCGGCAAAGTTGAGCTGTGCTCAACTCTTGTGATCTGTCCCGGCACCGATCCCGTACAATTTTGACCAAAAGTGGTTTGTGAACCGTTCGCGCCGGTGATCGCCGGTGCCGGGAGCCAGACGTCAAAATTTCAAACCAAGACTCGACCTAAATTTTCCTAAATTGAAGCTTAAGATGAGGTCTGTTCGCCCTTCTTGTAGTCGTCTCAAGGTAGCAAATTCAGTCAGCATACCAACCCGTCCTTCTCGGATGATCTGCTTGACTGTTATGCAACTTCTGAGAGAAATAAGTTACTATTGAAACAAATTGAGTTACAAATTTTACTGTATCTAAAGGTGCAACGCTTACCGAACGTAATGAACTCCAGACGGGTGTAACCTCTCGCAGGTACCATGGTGGTGTTAAAGCTCACCCAGTATGGACACTTTGGAAGCACATCGGTAAGACATTGACCAGACGACACTAGTCCACTTCCACCACTGCTACTGCCACTGCTACCTGTTCCCGGTGATGCCGTAGCCATGACGACATCACTCAAGTACACTTTTCCTCCTGGTCCAGGCTTTATGTTGATGTTCTTGTTTGCATCTGTTGCTATGGTGATGTGTCCATTCTTTGTACTGACTTGCGGACTGGGTCAGGAATAACACAACCAGGACACACACACACACAGAGAGAGAGAGAGAGAGAGAGAGAGAGAGAGAGAGAGGAGAGAGGAGAGAGAGAGAGAGAGAGGAGAGAGAGAGAGAGAGAGAGAGAGAGAGAGAGAGAGAGAGAGAGAGAGAGAGAGAGAGAGAGAGAGAGAGAGAGAGAGAGAGAGAGAGAGAGAGACAGAGACAGAGAGAGAGAGAGAGACAGAGAGAGAGAGAGAGAGAGAGAGAGAGAGAGAGAGAGAGAGAGAGAGAGAGAGAGAGAGAGAGAGAGAGAGAGAGAGAGAGAGAGAGAGAGAGAGCGAGAGAGAGAGAGAGAGAGAGAGAGAGAGAGGAGAGAGAGAGAGAAGAAAGAGAGAGAGAAGAGAGAGAGAGAGAGAGAGAGAGAGGTGAGGGAGAAGCTGGGAAAGGTGGTGTTTGCACACTCATGCATGCTTTCGTTATAGCACAATACGTGAAGGCGGACAGAGCTTGACTAGAGAGCTTGACTAGAGAGCTTGACTAGAGGACTCCACGCATGCCTACATGTACATAGGTGTACATACACGCACGCGCATACGCCCCCACACTTACACTAACACATATATTTACCGTATCATCTCTATTACAAGCTCAGTCTCTTGTTGAAGCCCAGTCTCTATTATAAGCTCAGTCTCTTGTTGAAGCCCAGTCTCTATTATAAGCGCACTCCCACAGGGCTTCGAAGATATCCAGACCCAGTCTCCAATATAAGCGCCGGTCTTGTAATGGAGAACTGCAGTAAAACCTGCAACTAAAGACCATCGTGACTAGCGACCAGCCTGGCACTAAAGACCACATCTCAAGACACGGACGGTCTGACATTCATATACGGTTGTGCGGTGCAAACCTCTAACTAAGGACCACTTGCCACTAAAGACCGCTTTCTCTGGCCCCAAGGGGTGGTCGTTAGTCACAAGTTTCACTGTATACGGATCATGTAAATACACATAACAAAGCATCACATACACACATTGTAGTGCAAGTCTGTGATCAGACCCGTGTACAGACTCAGTATACTAGGACAGTACAAGACTGCCATCCACGGTATCTGCTGGGAAACTTTGTTCTACTGGCATAAATTATAATAACCAACATACATGCACCAGATGGATAAAAAACCATAACGGCATAAGCCCAGTCTCTAGTAGAAGCCAAATCTCTAATAATTATAAGCCCAGAGTCCAGACTGGTTCGAAAAATATAAGCTCGGAGCTTATAACAGGGGTGTCGGAAGATATTTTAGTGTGGTACGGTCAGCCATCTGAAGTACACTTTACTCGTGGGGGAGAGGTGGCTGGTGCGAAGATTTTGGGAATTTAGAGCCCAAATCAGAGCATTTTATTGATTCACAGGGTATTTGCGGCAAAAAGTGGTACGATCAATACCGTAGTGACCGTACCGTGTTTGACGCCCCTGTATACTGGAGATAATACAGTATCATTATCGTACACACACACACACACACACACACACACACACACACACACACATACACACACACACACACACACACACACACACACACACACACACACACAACACGGCTGACATGCTGTCCCAGCAGAGTATGCCTATAGTTATGGCCATAGTTATGCTGCTCATTGATTGCTGTACATACACCTACACATACACCTACACCTACACCTACACATACACCTACACATACACCTACACATACACCTACACATACACCTACACATACACCTACACATACACCTACACATACACCTACACCTACACCTACACATACACCTACACATACACCTACACATACACCTACACATACACCTACACATACACCTACACATACACCTACACCTACACCTACACCTACACCTACACCTACACATACACATACACCTACACCTACACCTACACATACACATACACCTACACATACACCTACACATACACCTACACATACACCTACACATACACCTACACATACACCTACACATACACCTACACATACACCTACACCTACACCTACACCTACACATACACATACACCTACACCTACACATACAGTGTACAAGACTTGAACTCACAGTCGAAAACCTGGACTGTAGACTGTAGAACTAAAGTTCATCTTTTATCTCATGATGTACATGATGTACTCGATGTACATGATGTACTCGATGTACATGATGTACTCGATGTACTCGATGTACATGATGTACTTGATGTACATGCATGCACTATTCTGGCATGTCTTCATACATCATGTGTTGCCTGATGAAAGATTGAGAGAAAAGAGTGAGAGTATGTGGAGGGGGGGGGGAGATGTGTGTGTGGGTGAGGGGGGGGGGGGGGTGTGTGGGTGAGGGGGGGGGGGGGGGTGTGGGTGAGGGGGGGGGGTGTGTGTGTGTGGGTGAGGGGGGGTGTGTGTGTGTGGGTGAGGGGGGGGGGGGGTGTGAAGTGTAACGGTCACCAGGGCAGGTGCAACGGTTCGGGGTGATTCGGGGTGATTCGGGGTGATTCGGGGTGATTCGGGGTGATTCGGGGTGGTTCGGGGTGATTCGGGGTGGTTCGGGGTGATTCGGGGTGACCGACAAGTCGAGTCAGACTACAGTACTGACAGTTGCGACTAGATTGTGAGATGATGACGTCAGAATGACAGGTTGTTATGTGTATAATACAAAAAAGACGAGGTGGTGAAGGCAGGCATGTTTGTCTTTATTCCACTGTGTAGATGGTGAAGGAAGGCATGTTTGTCTTTATTCCACTGTGTAGGTAGTGAAGGAAGGCATGTTTGTCTTTATTCCACTATGTAGGTGGACTACACCACTAGCCACTAGTAAGTGTTGTAGAGGTCGAGAGGAGAGTAGGTGTGTGGATGGAGTGGGGCATTCGAGAGGAGAGTAGGTGTGTGGATGGAGTGGGGCATTCGAGAGGAGAGTAGGTGTGTGGATGGAGTGAGGAATTCGAGAGGAGAGTAGGTGTGTGGATGGAGTGGGGAATTCGAGAGGAGAGTAGGTGTGTGGATGGAGTGTGGCATTCTAGAGGATAGTAGGTGTGTGGACGGAGTGGGGAATTCGAGAGAAGAGTAGGTGTGTGGATGGAGTGGGGAATTCGAGAGAAGAGTAGGTGTGTGGATGGAGTGGGGCATTCGAGAGGAGAGTAGGTGTGTGGATGGAGTGGGGAATTCGAGAGGAGAGTAGGTGTGTGGATGGAGTGGGGAATTCGAGAGGAGAGTAGGTGTGTGGATGGAGTGTGGCATTCTAGAGGAGAGTAGGTGTGTGGACGGAGTGGGGAATTCGAGAGAAGCGTAGGTGTGTGGATGGAGTGGGGAATTGGAGAGAAGAGTAGGTGTGTGGATGGAGTGGGGAATTCGAGAGGAGAGTAGGTGTGTGGATGGAGTGGGGAATTCGAGAGGAGAGTAGGTGTGTGGATGGAGTGGGGAATTGGAGAGGAGAGTAGGTGTGTGGATGGAGTGGGGAATTCGAGAGGAGAGTAGGTGTGTGGATGGAGTGTGGCATTCTAGAGGAGAGTAGGTGTGTGGACGGAGTGGGGAATTCGAGAGAAGAGTAGGTGTGTGGATGGAGTGGGGAATTGGAGAGAAGAGTAGGTGTGGGGAGTTCCAGAGGAGAGTAGGTGTGTGGATGGAGTGGGATATTCGAGAGGTGAGTAGGTGTGTGGATGGAGTGGGGCATTTGAGAGAAGAGTAGGTGTGTGGATGGAGTGGGATATTCGAGAGGAGAGTAGGTGTGTGGATGTAGTGGGGCATTCGAGAGGAAAGTAGGTGTGTGGGGAGAGTGGGGCATTCGAGAGGAGAGTAGGTGTGTGGATGGAGTGGGGCATTCGAGAGAAGAGTAGGTGTGTGGATGGAGTGGGACATTCGAGAGGAGAGTAGGTGTGTGGATGGAATGGGGCATTGGAGAGGAGAGTAGGTGTGTGGATGGAGTGGGGCATTCGAGAGGAGAGTAGGTGTGTGGATGGAGTGGGGCATTCGAGAGGAGAGTAGGTGTGTGGATGGAGTAGGGCATTTATTTATTTATTTATTTATTTATTTATTCAACATCTCCTGGCCCGTCCGAAGACTGCCAATAAACATGAGAGGTCAGGTGATAGCCAACCACGGCAAGCTGAAAGGGAAAAAAAAGAAAGATGCTGTCAGAGAGGGAAAGGAGATAGCATTGCTAGAACAGCGGCAACCGCATTAGTCACATTAGTCGCATCGGTCGCATTAGTCGCATCAGTCCGCATTAGTCCGCATCAGTCGCATTAGTCACGGCTCAGCGCTGCTCGCCATCACACTGAATAGAAGTTCTGTGGGATATCCCGGTTTTGGACATGGTGGTCACAACGAACGCATTTGTGTCTCACCTTGCGAGGGTGATGTCTGCATTCCAATAGGCTGCTACTACCGTGAATACAAGTAGCAGGTGGGTGCGCTCCATTGCCTTCACTCTCGCTGCGCGTAAACTCAGTCTACCAGGAATACTACTACACTGCTAATCTTTACCATCCCTTGCAGATCTAGATCAACCCGGTTGTGGTAACGTGGAAGAAGAATGTTCTAAAATTTATTCCGTGTTCATTGGCATCATTGTGTATCGACTGCATGCACGTGGGTACAGAAATGATCCAGACCAAGCTTGCAAGAACTATCGGCCGATCAGGTGACGTATGTATGGACTGCAGATAATGATTCAGTGAGTCAGTTTTTAGCTAACGGAGCTAGCTAGCTAGCTACAACTACCATGACTACAGACAGTCTAGACTAAACCCAGGCCAGCCTACTCCATGATCCACACAGTCACTACTCTTGACATACCGACCGGTTATTGCCCAGCCAATCCTGCGGTCAGCGCCGAGAAAACGTCGTTCGCGACATGTTGACGTCAATGTACAGTGAAATTGATGTCACGGATGGATGCAGTCACATCGACTCACATGCAATGGACGTCAGTAATTTTACTTCGACTCGAGGATCACGGCTGCCAGGACTCATCTAGACTGAGAGAGTGCCGAAGTGCCGAAGTGCCGCTGTCCAGAAGTAAGTTTGTCCAGACGCCATGACTGTGGTCATGTCTGTGTCGTTCAGTGTCGTTCAATGATTATCTTATCGCATGAGCTGATTGTCCAGTAACTGGTGGTGTTAGTGGACATTATAGCGTAACTTGTAGTTTCTTGGTCCTTCTTCTTTCCTTGAAACAAATTGTATTCCGGAACGTTTTCTCGTAAGTTTCGTCACTGGTCTCCTTCACATGGTATGTAATAACTAAAACAAACAGCTAACATGTAGATGGCTTCACAGGTAGAGTACGGATACATTTAGAGCAGCCGCCAGCAAGTACAAATTAGTGAAGTTCACACCTTTCCTGTGTGTGAATATAGTGTATGTGAGAAAGGTAGTGGCAGATGAATATAGTGTATGTGAGAAAGGTAGTGGCAGTCTGGCAGATGAATATAGTGTATGTGAGAAAGGTAGTGGCAGTCTGGCAGATGAATATAGTGTATGTGAGAAAGGTAGTGGCAGATGAATATAGTGTATGTGAGAAAGGTAGTGGCAGATGAATATAGTGTATGTGAGAAAGGTAGTGGCAGATGAATAATAATATTGTAATACCTGTGTGTATGGACATGATGGCATGATGGCATGAAGAGTGTGACTGTGTGAGTGAAACAATGATTTCTTCGACGCTACATTGACACTTGGTCGTGCTCAATTCGCTACTATCATTCCAGCCGTGGGGCGTGGGAGCTCTGTGCTAAACAATCCTGGAGATACCATATTTCCAGGAGTGGGAGCTCTTTACTAAAAAATCCTGGAGATACCATACATGTATATCCATGTACACTGTATCACTGTGTGTGCACTGAGTCTGTACTGCCAACTCAACTCTCTGTACGTGCCATCTTCTTAGAACTGTCTGTACTTGCCATCTTCTTAGATTTGTGTTGGGTTTCAGTTCCCGTTATGGCAACACAGGATTGAGTCTTTTCTTCAGATTGCAGGCGTTCTGATCATTTTTTTTGTATTGAGATTTTGTGTCATACATTCATGATTGACTGATTGTACATGTATGTAAGCACATTTACTTTGCCCGTACCGCGACCAAGACCATCATACCTGCCAAGTATCCAGATTTTTCGGGGTTATCCCGTAATTTTGGATGAACTCCCGCGATCCCGAAATTCCTGTCGAATATCCCGAAATTCACTGTACACACGAAACAAGCTTGATTAGAGAGGTTTTGCATTCCGAATTTCGGAATTATTTTCGGAATGTGGCGGCAGCAGTCGAAAAAGTAGTCGAACATTCGGAAGTGTGGTGGCGAAAGTGCATGGTTTTCTGAAAATGGATTTTCGGCTCTTTCATGTTTGGGAGTGCATATTTGAATACAAAAAAGTGTATTTTTCATGTTTGTATTTTTGCTTTCTGCTGCTCTCGATTATTTGAAAAAATTTCCACGTATGTAGTTTTGATTTTTGCTGGTTTTGCTGCTCTCGCTGATCTCGCCATGTTGACTAATCTTCTCACACTTCATCACACTCTATCTTCCTTTGCCCTGGAGCCTACTAACAGTACAAGACAGTAGTTCGCCAACCTCGTCTTCAGCTGTTGGATCACTTGGTCCACCATCAGTCCGTCCTCGTCTTCGAACCGCACCCAAATAATTCAGTTTGACCTGCGCACATAGATTTGATCCTGCTCAACCACTTCGACGCTCTCCATTTTGTTTTGCATGGCAACCCTTGGAAACGAAGTCGAATCAGATTTTCGGAATGCAAAACACTGAAAATACCGTTTTTCGGAACGCGCTTTTTTCGGAAAAGCACAGTCGAAAATCATTCCGAAATTCGGAATGCAAAACCTCTCTATTGTACCTGTCCCGGAGGACTTCAAATGACCTGTCACAGGCGAGTAGTTGTCCTTATTGATTCCGGACCACCATAGCCTCCAGTTAATGTACCAGTGGATCTCCTACAGTACTAGTGCTCCTTCCATGAACAGTCCTTGTAAAACCTCCGTTTTGACTTTTGAGTCTCGAGCATGCGTAAGTGTGACTCGATGATCACCATCAGTCATCTATTTTCGATATGTTGGTGCCATCAAAAGTTTAAAAAAAGGATTCTTTTGGAAAAAAATAGGACATCCCGAACAACCAAGGAAAATCCTGGATTTTGCCATGGCGATCCAGAAAAAGCATTCTCAGTACTTGGCAGGTATGCACCATGATCATGAAGATGACGACCGCCGTAACCGGCGCTGACAGACAGACACCATACCAGGACACTGGCGCATGGCGCTAGACTTTTAGGACTTTTACTGCCATACTGCCTGGCTCATTTTCCTTTTACGCACTTTTCGAGCCCCAACGGCACAGGAAGTAAGTCCTGTTGCACGTGCACATACATGTACCTCATGTACCTCATGATAATCGTGTGCAGCATAGCTCTACACTGCGACTACAGAATCTACTTACACAGTACAAGACTACCCGCGGGCCATTGTTTGGGCCATTCAGTATATATATTAAAGGGCCTAGCGCCTACACGCCCTGCCATGCCCCAGCCCTCGCCTCGATCAAGCGTGGTCAGATTTCTATTTTCAGAGCAGCAGGGAGTCGGTATAACGACTCCCTGGTTCAAAGCAGGCTACAGCTTACAGGGACAGGAGCGAAAACCTGGAGAAAAAAGAGCCTCCGCTTTGATGCTATGCGTGGCTCATGGGTACTGCAAGTCTGCAGAGAAAACGGATTTTGTTCAAACGAAAAAAGCTAACGAATACTCGTAAACCATGAGCTTAGCTGAGGTTGTGCACAACAATCAACAATGTGAACGTTTTCGTAGTAGACCTACCGGGTAGGTCGACGCGGCGCGCGCGGGTGACGAAGAGTCAAGACAATGAGTTGTAAAATATCAGTATTTTAGGGAAACCTTTCTCCGCAAACTCCAACGCAGCCATTTACATATTCAGGAAACTAACAAATTACAGTGTACTTCACTTCTCAACTCCACATTCCAAAAACGCTCTCTTCTCTGCGATTCAAAATCAAATTTACATTACACCTTCGCGGGCCAGGCCCATCATCACTACCCTGGCTGATGATCATGATGATGGGCCAGGCCCATCATCACTACCCTGGCTGATGATCATGATGATGGGCCAGGCCCATCATCACTACCCTGGCTGATGATCATGATGGTGGGCCAGGCCCATCATCACTACCCTGGCTGATGATCATGATGATGGGCCAGGCCCATCATCACTACCCTGGCTGATTTTTTTTTGTTTTTTTTTTTTTTTTGATCCCACCTTCCAACCCGGCAAATATTTTGATTTTGATAAAAACGATTCAAAGCCTCTCTAGTACTACTTGATGTATATATAAGAATAATAACATTAGTTACACTTTCACACCAAACTAGCTCGGCGCAGCACCAATCACTGCAGGGGAACCCGACCCTCCACCATCGCCAACTCACGAAGCATGTGAACTGGACGATGACGGGCCGACCGAGCACCCCTGACACACAACACAGCGGAACGTAGCAGCGCGAAAGACACCCGACAACGATAATATAATAACTCATCAACGACGAATAGCTACCTCCCGAAGATTGAGCTGTAAGGAGGCAAAGGCGCCTGAGGAAGGCCGTGGATGCCGGCGCAGCAGCCCCATTCACGGAAAACACAAGAGGTGCAAAGGCACCACGCTCAACATTGACTACTCTCTCCTGATAATGCAGTCTCTTAGCGCCCTCATGTTGCCGGAAGAGCGCGTCCAGGCTTCTGGACGCGTAGGAAGAAGCGTCAGGATTAAACACCCTTACATCAAAAAATGCATCTTGCCCACGCGTCCAGAAGCCTCGAGCGCTCACATCAAGGCGAGCCTCGACAGAGGTGTTCGCCGACCTGGCCTGAAAAACCTCACCCTCGACAGGGGCGAGAGGTGGCTCCACAGACAAACTGGAGCAAACCTCGGTCAAGGCACCCTACCCTGGCTGATGATCATGATGATGGGCCAGGCCCATGATCACTACCCTGGCTGATGATCATGATGATGGGCCAGGCCCGAAAATTTGGTGTACAGGACTGTAGACTAGAATCATGCACTGATTATTGGAATTTGAATGGCAGTGAAGACTGAAGTCGAAGAGTCAGATTTTGCAGTGTGGAGTTGAGAAGTGAAGTAATTAGTTTCCTAAAAGTATTTTAGGGGCCGTCCGGGGTTATAACGTTACCCATTGAGGCATTGGGAAACGAAGAGTGCTACTACTACTAATAGGCTTACAGAGGCTTACAGAGGCTTTGGTTGTGCAAGAGTGCTCAATGCCTGATTCAGGCAGAGCGGCGTACACAAAGGCACACAATGAAAACCTTGGCAAATTAATTCCGTTGTGACTCAGAGTTTCATCGCTGAACCAATCATCAGACAACGATAATGGAATAGGAGGCAGCGCTGGTATATCTAAGTGGAGAGAGGTGTGATAATACGATAGCGAGAGGAGTAATCGCGTGAATGTATACAGGGACAGGCTATTTCAGAGGCAGATGCAGTAGGCGCAGGTCTAGCACTAACAAGCACGCGCTTAATCTCGCTCACACACCACACACACACATACCAACACGCACACACATAGTAACACCCACACACATACACACATACACGCACACACTAACACACCCACACACATACACACACCCACAACACCCTAACTTGCACACGGACGCACGCACACACAGACACCCACCCACCCACAACACCCTAACTCGCACACGCACAAACACACGCACACACACATAATACACATATGCACACACACATACACACACACACATGTCCACACGCATACACAGGCATCTGCGTTCGTATGACAAATCTAAGCGCACACAAACTCCTGCAATCACGCGTCATGAAAAGTACGCCGCATCGACTAAGTTGTCCAAGCACATCTGGGATCTGAAAAACGAGAACCGCGGATTCGACATCAGATGGGAGATCAAGGATAGAGCACCTTCATACAGTAACATCAGCAAGAAGTGTGGCCTATGCTTACCCGAAAAGTTCCACATCCTGAAAGCTTCAAAAGCTACCTCCCTAAACAAGAGAAGTGAGCCGGTATCTAAATGCCCTCACCAGCGCAAGTTTCTGCTGGCCACCCCTATAACATAGACAGCTATGACCGCTGCGGGTTTTTTGACGCGTGATTGCAGGAGTTTGTGTGCGCTTAGATTTGTCATACGAACGCAGATGCCTGTGTATGCGTGTGGACATGTGTGTGTGTGTGTGTATGTGTGTGTGCTTATATCTATAGGTGTGTGTATATGCGTGAGTGCGTGTGTTTGTGCGGGTACGAGTTAGGGTGTTGTGGGTGGGTGGGTGTCTGTGTGTGCGTGCGCCCGTGTGCACGTTAGGGTGTTGTGGGTGGGTGTATGTGTGTGTGTGTGTTAGTGTGTGCGTGTATGTGTGTATGTGCGTGGGTGTTACTATGTGTGTGTAGTGTGTGAGCGAGATTAAGCGCGTGCTTGTTAGTGCTAGACCTGCGCCTACTGCATCTGCCTCTGAAATAGCCTGTCCCTGTATACATTCACGCGATTACTCCTCTCGCTATCGTATTATCACACCTCTCTCCACTTAGATATACCAGCGCTGCCTCCTATTCCATTATCGTTGTCTGATGATTGGTTCAGCCATGAAACTCTGAGTCACAACGGAATTAATTTGCCAAGGTTTTCATTGTGTGCCTTTGTCACAGTTTGTGTAATACTAATAGTAGTATTTTTCAACCTCCACCCATGGCCCATGGCCCACCCTCCACCCATGGCCCATGGCCCACCCTCCACCCATGGCCCATGGCCCACCCTCCACCCATGGCCCATGGCCCACCCTCCACCCATGGCCCATGGCCCACCCTCCACCCATGGCCCATGGCCCACCCTCCACCCATGGCCCATGGCCCACCCTCCACCCATGGCCCATGGCCCACCCTCCACCCATGGCCCATGGCCCACCCTCCACCCATGGCCCATGGCCCACCCTCCACCCATGGCCCATGGCCCACCCTCCACCCATGGCCCATGGCCCACCCTCCACCCATGGCCCATGGCCCACCCTGCACCCATGGCCCATGGCCCACCCTGCACCCGTGGCCCATGGCCCACCCTGCACCCGTGGCCCATGGCCCACCCTGCACCCATGGCCCATGGCCCACCCTGCACCCATGGCCCATGGCCCACCCTGCACCCATGACCCACCCTTTCTGCAGGTAAAAAATCGGAGTCTGACAAAATAATTATTAATATTAGGCCACACTGAAGAAGGTCTGTGGTTCGACTCACCCGACCGACCGTACATTTTTCAGCCCGACCGTAACTTTTTTTCGGCGGGCTGTCGTGTGACTGACGTAGATCTACGTGGACTGAACACGTCCACGTCTACGTGCTGTGCAGCTTGATGATTTGGACAGTCAGAGTCACCATGGTCACCGCTTGAAGTTATTCTCTTCTCGTTCCAGAGCTACACAATGTTTCAAAGTATTACTATTAGCCAGTGATCCCTTTATACAACATGTATGGCATAACACTGCGTAATAATGCCGATGTACTGGGTGTCTAAAGGCAGTACAGTGTATTTACATGTACTAAAAAATATATTAAAAAAAAAAAAATCCGCCCGCCCGCCCGTAAAAAAAATGTCCATGTTAGTCGAACCACACACCTTCTTTAGTTTGGCCTTATTGATTTCAATCTTGATCTTAGGCACCCAGAAATAACTGGGCATTATGCATTCTCTATGTACATGTACATTCATTGATTATTTTCAAAATGAAACTCCTAAAACCCACCCACCCCGTGGCCTGCATCATACTTTCATAGTGCATGTACATCATGTACCTGGCCTGGACGGCCCCGTTACGAAAACTATTTTCGTAGTTCTGCTCTGTTTCGGTCGCGTTTGGCGAATCTTCGCAGCTAGCTAGCATGCTAGTTACGTCCGTTGCTCGAACCCGGACGGTCCAAATCTTACGAATTTTCGTTGTGCGCAAAATTAATAGTTACTGTTAGTTACTATGGTTACTCGATCGACACTGTGCTAATGCTAGTAATGGCCGCTTGGTTTGCGGACTGTACTACTAGCGCTAGCGCTAGCATAGACCACCTATTTCACCTATTTCAGGTGAATTTGAAGGAAGGAATAATATTTCTGTAGAATATTATTTTATTATTCTTAGCTGCCTGTGCGTAATGCAGTGTGAGTGTCGCGAGCAGCTCTTGCGTGTTCTAGAGCAATGGCGATGTAATAGTTTCTTGTCAACGTTCAGCCACCACAGAGTCGGCAGACCTGCAGTTCTGCGTGTGTGGCCGTGCATGCACCGTGACTGCTTTGCAAACGGATAGTGCCGCCCCAGGTTTCGCTGTGACTGGCAGCTTTCAGCGCCACCACGCCAGCTCATGATGAAGCTCAGAACAGCAATGGACCGCTAGTACATGATTGTAGGTCTATCACAGACCCTGACGTTGTCGAATGGTGTCAGAGCCAGTTTCAAGCTAAAATGGCAAGAACCACAGTCACGTGCAGTACTGAAGTGGATGTATCGTCGATGATTTACGGACGCGGCAGCTGTACTTTCCAGACTACGCAGATGCAGGCACCACTGTTGGGCGTGGAACACCGCATTCTAGAGGAGTGCCTAAGCCCTGAGTATAACTGAGGCTCATTCGTGCTGCAGTTGAAGGAGTTCTGCGTTGGCTGCCATCGTCCATTGAGCCAGGAGGTTGTGTGCAGTCATGGAGGGTCCCTATGTCCTCTGTCTTACTGTTGTGGTAGTGGTCTGCTACTCGACTATTGCAACAGCTAGGTAAGGTTCGGTTTGGGGTGCGTAGGACATGATAGAAATATCACAAATAGCCGCTATGCACTAATTTATGGCAGGGCCGTCGGAAGGTATTTTAGTGTGGTACAGTCAGCTATCTGAAGTACAATTTACTTGTGTGGGAGTGGTGGCTGAGCCGAAAAATTTGGAAATTTAGATCCCAGATCAGTGTATTTTGTTGATTCACGGGGTACCTGGGGCAAAAAGTGGTACGGTCAATGCCGCAGTGACCATACCGTGTCCGACGCCCCTGTGTGGTGATAAAATACAAGGCAGGCGGCATTATTCACATTGACGATCATTGTCTACGTGTTTGTAAGAAATGCTAGTGATAATAGGTCGTGATGCATGGGCGGCAGAATCGGTCTGGTGGGTCAGGCCATGGCCCAACCAACTCTGTGGCCACGAATGGGTGTTAAAGGAGAACTATGGTCTAGAATCAAAATTTCACTGCTCGTAGTCTGCAGAGTGCCGAGTCGAATGGTCTTGGTCCGAGGAAGCTAAGAAAGCTCCCTTCTGTATTCCTAATCGAACTCGTCACTTCCACCGAAACTGGGTGACTGTGCTCTACTATGGGGATTTATATGCAAAATATCACTAAAAGCGCCTTTTCGATTTTATAAACTCACGGATTAACAAGATTGGTCCATGATGTTGTAGTCTTTTGGATGCTGAGCCAACTGGTTTTGGTCCAAGAACGCCCTTATTCCCAATCGAACACGGTTGAGTAAGCGGTCACGTGCTGATGTGCCCGTCAGTCACCTGGTCACCGTGCCTGCGAGCTACAACTTACACACCCAGGCTGAACTCGAGTGACAGGAATGCGCGCTAACGTGTTGTAAATTGTAGCTTGCAGTTCGATTGGGAATGAAGGAGGAAGGGAGCGTCTCAGCTTCGTCGGACCAAGACCATTCGACTCAGCACCCTGAAGACTACGAGCAGTGACATGTTGAATAGACAATACTTCCCCTTTACGCTGCAATGCTTCAAAGTAGCAGTGTACAATTACCTCCTCGAGCAAACTTGTGGGACTGCTATCGACGTGTACACCACAGACTAGCATACTACCTGATCGCCTAACTCTTTCTTCTTTCTTTCTTTTTACCCCCCCCCCCCCCCTCTGGTGCACGTTGTGGGCAAGGATACCGAGACCTCTGGTCGGAGGAGTCCACAACGTCCCACCTACACAGCTGCGCTAGTGGATACTAGTAGTCCATCCCTACTCAATAGTTGTTTCTTCTGTCAACCCTCAACTTCTGTGTTCTAGTCGTTTCTTCGTTCTCCCTTCATGCAACTCTGTTATCTTTCTTGTTCTTATTTTTTTGTCTCGAGCTGGGTTTGTGTTCTTTGTAAAAAAATAATATATAAAAAAACTTGGGTCATGTGTAGCTGCCATAGCGTACACAAACTGTATGAACTGACTGTACTCAAGATGTGTAGCTGCCATAGCGTACAACAACTGTATGAACTGACTGTAATCAAGATGTGTAGCTGCCATAGCGTACACAAACTGTATGAACTGACTGTACTCAAGATGTGTAGCTGCCATAGCGTACACAAACTGTATGAACTGACTGTACTCAAGTACTTGAGTGCAGCTGATGTTTTTTAAACTTTTTTTACCCACACTTCAACTTTTACTCTGCCGCCCTCATAGTATTGGGCGTCAATTCTCGATCATTTTGCGATGTAAGAGAAACCTTCAAAATGGCTGTGATATGGCCGGAACAATAAAAAACTACTTCCACGGGTCCTGTGGTGCGTTGCAAGTTTGCGCACCATGGTATCCATTATCACACAGCTTTACGCACCGCTGTATCCAGTATTGACGTGAAGCTTGACGCATTTCCGTAGCCTCTTTTTTGTAAGTCCACCTTTTCATGGTACGATGTGGGCAGCAGCCTGATTATGTAATGCATCCAGTATGTACACAGACTTCACTGAATCGGCTTTAGATATATTTGAGGCACTTGAGAATCAACAGAACCTGAATATATTTATCATACTGCGTTCACTGTCTCCCTCTGTCCCTCTCTGTCTCTCTCTCTCTTTCTCTCTCTCTCTCTCTTTCTCTCTGTCTCTCTCTTTCTCTCTGTCTCTCTCTTTCTCTCTGTCTCTCTCTCTGTCTCTCTGTCTCTCTCTCTCTCTCTCTCTCTCTCTCTCTCTCTCTCTCTCTCTCTCTCTCTCTCTCTCTCTCTCTCTCTCTCTCTCTCTCTCTCTGTCTCTCTCTCTGTCTCTCTCTCTGTCTCTCTCTCTGTCTCTCTCTGTCTCCCTGTCTCTGTCTCTCTCTGTCTCTCTGTCTCTCTGTCTCTCTGTCTCTCTGTCTCTCTCTCTCTCTCTCTGTCTCTCTCTCTCTCTATCTCTCTCTCTCTCTATCTCTCTCTCTTCTCTCTCTCTCTCTCTCTCTCTCTCTCTCTCTCTCTCTCTCTCTCTCTCTCTCTCTCTCTCTCTCTCTCTCTCTCTCTCTCTCTCTCTCTCTCTCTCTCTCTCTCTCTCTCTCTCTCTCTCTCTCTCTCTCTCTCTCTCTCTCTCTCTCTCTCTCTCTCTCTCTCTGCCTGCAGTCCGGAAGTGAGTACAAAGAATGGGCACATCACCATAACAACGGATGCAAACAAAGACATCACCATCCAACCGGGAACAGGTGGAAAGTTGTACTTGAAGAACGTCGTTTCGGACGCCTCATCCGGTGGAACGGGTAGTACTGGCGGTACTACTGGAGGTACTTCCACTCCGCAGTGTGGTCTAGTGCCCACGTGTCCGTACTGGATGAACGTCAATGTTACAATGATACCATCACGAGGTGGTGCACGTCTGGAGTTTGCTACATCCGGTAAGCTTACATCCCACCATGCTGGTAGGTTAGATATACCAATAAGCATGGAAGCACTGGGTTTAAGAGTCCATCTAAGTACCGGACTACAACTTGTATTATGATACCAGCCCGCTTCTGAAAATTGTTTTGAATAATGCTACAGTTGAATATCGATTATCCGCACATCGACTATCCGACCATTCGATTATCCGTAACAGTTTTTTTGGGCGCACGTGCCGTAGAGTACGCACTGTGCATGTAGTGAGCCATTCAAAAATACGAAAAATTTTAAAAGTAAAAAGTAAAAAGGTCGTGCGGCTAGTAATCACCACTGAAAGTGTGTGAGTGACAGTTTTTTCTTATCCGGAACATTTGCCTTATCTGAACACCGCCTGACAGTTGTCTGCCCAGAGGTGGTCGGATAATCGATGTTCAACTGTACGTGCATTTTCACAGTATTATATGCACAGACTTTGTTCCAAGCACTCTTTGTTCTATAGAAAAGAAAAGGACCAAGGAACTACAAGTTACGCTATAATGTCCACTAACACCGCCGGTTACTAAACAATCAGGTCATGTGATAACATTGCACAATCAGGTCATGTGATAACATTGCATGACACTGACATACAGTACTGACGGTCTACAGCTACTGGGTACGAGGTCTAGCACATCTTGGATGCACACTCCAACAGCCTATTATAGCATAACTTGTAGGCCCTTGGTCCTTTTCGTTTCTATAAATTTATCCTTGGCTCTCCATCCGAGTCCACTCTTTGTGTTCTGTGTGTGTTATGCCAGGTTTGTCCAACCTCTTTCACCCATCGTTCAATCCCTCGTTTACCTGCAAGTTCACATCCAGCCGTCAAACAGCGACGTCGGTGCCTACAAATGTAACGATCAAGACGGATACGAAAGAACCAGGATTGTTTTACGTCGTTGTATGGTGAGGGTTAGGATTGTTTTACGTCGTTGGATGGGGAGGGTTAGGGTTATGGATACGGCTAGGGGTTAGGGTTAGGGATTGGAGGTAGGGTTAGGGTTACGGCTAGGGGTTAGGGTTATGGATACGGCTAGGGGTTAGGGTTACGGCTAGGGTTACGGCTAGGGGTTAGGGTTAGGGTCAGGATTAGAGTTACAGTCAATCAAGACGGACACAAAAGAACCAGGCTTGTTCTAGGTCATGGTATGGGGAGTCACCACTCCACGATGAAGTCCCTCCTCTCGTGAAATACCAACTATTAGTGCCAGTTACTTCCTCCGCGTCGTTTTTTAAAATTGTCGCTTCCCAGAGCGATTCTTCGAATTTATTTTTTCCACTCTAAGGGCAAAGAAATCAGCTAGAAATTGAGGCAGAGCATTGTCGACGGACCAAGCTTTAGTTTGTGGCCTCCCGCTTCGCTTCACTTGCAGCTAAGGTCGTCGTCTTCATCAGAGTTTGAGGCAGACCCTTCAGCACTAAACACGCTGAACAAGACGCGTGTTCAAATTCAGGTCAAGAAACTTCGTTTTCAAGCAATCCATGCCTCCAGGTGGCAGGCGATGAAGGCAAGCTAGCATTTTTCAAGTACACTGTAACGACCTTCCAGCGGGATAGGGTAAGCAGTTCCGCACCTTCTTTCCTTGGCAAGAGCTTCGCTGATTTTGTTGGTGTTTTCAGACCTGCTACCTTCGCAGCAATATGCGCCACAAGTATCGCATTTTAGGAATTTGAGAACACTTTGTTCTTGTCACCGTCAAGTTCAGCATTTCGTATTCAGGAGAGATAGCAGGATTCTTATACCCGAGCTTGCAGTCTTGATAAATGCCCAAGGAGCGATGCGGGACCGCACGAACTCCCGAAAAACGATATGCACTCTGGGGCGGAATAGTGCGGAGTGCGATGAATTTTCTTGGTGCGGAAGGGAGCTCCGACAACGTCCGAGACCACCACGGCTTCAGTAACAAGTAAACATTGCGCAGGAAAGGTCGCACCAATGTTCGAACACAGAAAACAGCGATTACGACAGTCTAACTAAGACGAGCCAAGTCACAAACATTGCGATGTGCGAATCGACAATTGTAATGATGCAGAGCAAGTACTAGCACAGTGCTGCCAACCTATTGGGTCTATTTTGCGTACTGCGTCTCCTGATTTTCCGTATTTTGCAGTGTTTTTCCGTACTACCAATGTACTGCCGTGTGCATTGCTTGTATTGTGCTTTTTTGACACTCACATGCTTGTTGCTGGCTGAATTTGCTGATGCAAAACATGTGTGACTGTACCACAACATGCTATTTTGTGCTACATATACATGTAGTCGAAGCATGACATGCACTCTCTTTGGCATAGGGATATTCATCGCTCAGCTTGCGCTTGCAATGCTTCTACATACAAGTACATATCTGTAGCTGATAAGTACTCTTCAATTTTCCGTACCATTATGCTCAAATTCCGTACTGCGGACGAAGGAGTGATTTTCCGTACAAATACGGAAAAATATGGAATGCTGGCAGCACTGCTAGTATATCATGCCAGTGCAGACAGTTCTCCAGCTTAGCATGGTGTAGCAAGCTACTCGTGTAATGACAGTGTAGCTGTCTGGTTTTGCCAGGTCTACACTGGTAGTTCTTAGACATGTCTTCTGCACCACTGTTCTTTACGTACTGTACTCTGATGTTCTTGGCTTGTGTGAATCATGCATGTTTGTTTTTCTGTCATTCTTGTCATGTCCATGACTGTGTGCAGCACCGTACCAGACTGGGGCTTTGTCAGTTTGGCGACTTTCAGCGAGTCGGTCAAGGTCACGCTCTGGTTTCAAGGAAATACAGAAATTCCGTTCGCCGGCATTGCCAGTTGGCAAATGGTGAGTGGGAGGGGAGGGGTTGGAACTGAGAGATTTCATAATCCGGAGAAAGTGTGTGTGTAAGGGATAAGGGAGAATGATGACACGTACTGGTGTTTGCAGCTCCTGGCTTTGAACCATACATTGAAAAAAAACATCAGTTTTGTGGCTCGAGGAACGACTGAATACCCTTTCGCTCATTGTGAGCAAGCCTTTCTACAATCGGAATATTTTCATAACAAAAACTACTGTATCCAGGTCCTGAGTTTTGCTCTTGTCGACCCTTTGTTGCAGGGTTAATCAATGCATGTTTGCATATGTCACTTCTGACACGGACCGTATGTATGGTCATGAGGTCAAGGTTGTGATCGGGATTGCCAGTTGCAGAGATCACAAAACATTTAGAACTTCCCTAAGTCCCTAAATCCGCGGTCCAAGGCACATTGGTTCAGGTACTGTGCTCTCGCATCGTCTCCTTGGATACTACAACTCATTCGATTGTCTCCTTGGATACTACAACTCATTCGATTGTCTCCTTGGATACTACAACTCATTCGATTGTCTCCTTGGATACTACAACTCATTCGATTGTCTCCTTGGATACTACAACTCATTCGATTGTCTCCTTGGATACTACAACTCATTCGATTGTCTCCTTGGATACTACAACTCATTCGATTGTCTCCTTGGATACTACTCATTCGATGGTGGTGTGGTGCAGTGAGCTGTGGTGGTGGTGGTAATGTCTAATCATTACCGATTTAACTCAATTGTAATTTACTGTGTTCTGCTTTGCTTACATGCTCACTGGAATACACCTCAAGGCTACCATGTTCAGTAAGTTTTTTTCCAATATAAATACTGTACATGTACACTAGTAGTTCATCCAGGCGATGTAATACCAGGGATAGCCAGGCGATGTCATGCCAGTGCCAGCCAGGCAATGTAATGCCAGGGTTAGCCAGGCGATGTCATGCCAGTGCCAGCCAGGCAATGTAATGCCAGGGTTAGCCAGGCGATGTCATGCCAGTGCCAGCCAGGCAATGTAATGCCAGGGTTAGCCAGGCGATGTAATGCCAGTGCCAGCCAGGCAATGTAATGCCAGGGTTAGCCAGGCGATGTCATGCCAGTGCCAGCCAGGCAGTGTAATACCAGGGTTAGCCAGGCGATGTCATGCCAGTGCCAGCCAGGCAATGTAATACCAGGGTTAGTCAGGCGATGTCATGCCAGTGCCAGCCAGGCAATGTAATACCAGGGACAGCCAGGCGATGTAATGCCAGGGCTAGCCAGGCCATGTAATGCCAGGGCTAACCAGATGATGTAGTGCCAGGGCTAGCCCGGCCATGTAATGCCAGGGCTATCCAGGCAATGTAATATAATAAATTAAATTGAGCCAGCGCAAGCGAAAAGGGACGTTATTCTGCGGCACGTGATTTTTGAGATAATCGCACTTGAAGTGAATCTGCTGATATCCGGCTGTCACGTTAACTTGAAACCGTGGTTTTTTTGGTGATACGTGATTTCTTTAGAGCAAAACCGCTCTCAGCCTCTGTGCATAGGAGAACCAGAATCCTACAGGCTACTGATACTGTAGAAGAAAACCCTGTCTAAATCCACCCACATACCACACATACCACGCATTGCCAATCGACCCACATACCACGCATTGGCGATCAAAAATCGATCGATCGACAGCGCGACCTCCGCTGCACGCGCAGCATGCGCGAGCGGAAAAGACAAAGGAACTTACTTTCAAGGCAGCTGCCTGGCTGCCTTCGCTTCCCTCTGAGTCCTTGGGTTGGCTGCCTTTGCTTCCCTCTGAGTCCTTGGGTTGGCGTGTATACACACCATGAGCTACCGTAAATGTTTCATCATCAACGAAGCGCTGAAATCTCTCCTAGCCTGGGTAAATGGCTCACCATCAACGAAGCGCTGAAATCTCTTCTAGCCTGGGAGAACATGAGGCTGAATTTTTGGGTGAGGAAGAGAACGCCATTGAAAATTCAAATCAATCTGACGACGAGAACGATGACTCGCGATGACTAAAGTGAACATTATCTTGGACAGCGAGTGAATGTGGACGCAGCAGCAGAACTGTAGGTCGTCACGACCGCACCCGAACCTTCCCAGGCTACTGAGTACCTCCGAAGGTGCACAGCATGAAGATTGTCTATGAAAACGTGCGATGTTTTTAGGAAAATAGTGTAGAACAAAAGCCCGTGACTTTGCTATCCGTGTATCGATTTTCAATCGTTTTTTTCCATTTGATTCGTACATCTTCTGGCTGCAAGAATCTGTTGATAACTCAAAATGCACAAAAATCGGGATAACATCCCTTTTCACTTGCTCCAGCTCTAATGCCATGGCTAGCCAGGCGATGTAATGCCAGACCTAGCCAGGCTGTGTTATACCTGGCTTAATTAGGCTGTGTAATGCCGGTTTTGTGGCACAATGATTATAGCCATTATATGTTGTCGTCTCCATTCTTGTGCAATCATGCATATGTAGGTTGGTTCTCTTCATGTTATTGTGACCAATTTCATAGATGTTGGTTGCTTTGTTGCTTTCTCTCCCCTCTCCTCTCACCCAAGCCATTCTGCATAAGCGAAGCTGTGGACGCAACATACTGCTGCTACACTTCAACGCGGGAATGCGTATAATAATAATAATGATAATAATGCCAGGGCTAGCCAGGCTTTGTTATGCCTGGCTTAATTAGGCTGTGTAATGCCAGGGCTAGCCAGCCTTTGTTATACCTGGCTTAATTAGGCTGTGTAATGCCAGGGCTAGCCAGCCTTTGTTATACCTGGCTTAATTAGGCTGTGTAATTCCAGGGCTAGCAAGCTATGTTATACCTGGCTTAATTAGGCTGTGTACTGCCAGGGCTAGCCAGGTCGTGTACTGCCAAGGCTAGCCAGGCTCTTTGATACCTGGGTTAGCCAGGAAATGTAATGTCAGGGCTATCCAGGTTGTCAAATGCCGGAGTCAACTAGGCATGCGAGTGCGAGTATTTTTCACATGCGGGTTTTAGCTGTCGTCTAGGTCAGGTGGTTGCCATTTCGGAGTGATCGCCTTGACAGGTTATTCTGCCATATCGGAGTGATCGCCTTGACAAGGTGTGCTGCCTTTTCGGAGTGATCGCCTTGACAAGGTGTGCTGCCATTTCGGAGTGATCGCCTTGACAAGGTGTGCTGCCATTTCGGAGTGATCGCCTTGACAAGGTGTGCTGCCATTTCGGAGTGATCGCCTTGACAAGGTGTGCTGCCATTTCGGAGTGATCGCCTTGACAAGGCGTGCTGCCATTTCGGAGTGATCGCCTTGACAAGGTGTGCTGCCATTTCGGAGTGATCGCCTTGACAAGGTGTGCTGCCATTTCGGAGTGATCGCCTTGACAAGGTGTGCTGCCATTTCGGAGTGATCGCCTTGACAAGGTGTGCTGCCATTTCGGAGTGATCGCCTTGACAAGGTGTGCTGCCTTTTCGGAGTGATCGCCTTGACAAGGTGTGCTGCCTTTTCGGAGTGATCGCCTTGACAAGGTGTGCTGCCTTTTCGGAGTGATCGCCTTGACAGGTTATTCTGCCATTTCGGAGTGATCGCCTTGACAGGGTGCGCTGCATTGTTTGCAGGAGGTTTGAACAGTCCTGAGGTACAAACTTGAAGTAATTATTTGAATTTCCTTACTGAGCTTGCATGCTGGTTTTCTGCCCATGTTTGTGTGTGTGTGTGTGTGTGTGTCTGTGTGTGTGTGTGTGTGTGTGTGTGTGTCTGTGTGTCTGTCCGTGTCTGTGTGTGTGTATGTGTCCTTTAGCTGCTGTCCTTGCTGCATCCCAGAAACCAGGAAGCATTACGCTGAACAGTGAGTAACGTCTGCTTGTCTCATCACTGATGATCACTGATGATCACTGATGATCACTGATGATCACTGATGATCACTGATGATCACTGATGATCACTGATGATCACTGATGTACAAGAAATGAACTTTGAGTACTTTACCTTCATCATTAGTGTATCTGTGGTAGTGGGTAACTTAATGTCACGTACAAAAGCAGCACACACACTGGTACACGCACTGGTACACACACTGGTACACACATTGGTACACACATTGGTACACACACTGGTACACACATTGGTACACACATTGGTACACACACTAGTACACACACTGGTACACACACTGGTACACACACTGGTACACACACTGGTACACACACTGGTACACACACTGGTACACACACTGGTACACACACTGGTACACACACTGGTACACACACTGGTACACACACTGGTACACACACTGGTACACACACTGGTACGAACATGCACTGACTCAGGGCTCACCACGACTATACAAAGCGTCAATAACGGTCATTTGGATTTGACCAATCAGCGCACGGCAAAACGGGCTGTTTCTTGCAATTGTGGGGTGTTTTCTGAGTGGAGCTTGGCTGTATTCGTTGGTTTTAGACATTAGGCCATTGTGGATTCGTGTTCAGAAGGTGTGTCTTTGGAGGGTTACCGTCTCGAATTTTTCGATTTGGCCTTCGTTTGGCTGAGATCGGATGGTGAAATCACTCAAACGCGAAGGCGTGCGAACAAGTGAATGAAGAGAAAATTAAAAATCGGGGACGGTAAACCGATAGAGAATTCCAAGACCTTGAAAATGAGCTATCGATGGTGAGAATCAGCCAAGGAGAACCGCTGTTCTACTTTTTTGAAGGCATCAAGGTCGGCCGTGCGTCGCCGCGCGCACCAACAAAAACTGGCAGCCGTGCGCATATCTGCAAGTGCAACAAGAAAGGACGGAGGAGACAACAAGCGTTCCAAGTGAAGAGTTTACCTTCGTGTTGACTCAAGCTAAGGACTCATGCCAGTCAGGGATCATACCAGTCACCTCTCATCATGGTCATGACTAAGGGATTCATTTCTGGCCAGGAAACTCCCCACTCGCAGCGTGAAAGCTGCGAGGCCAAACAGAAAAGAGTGTGCCGAGTCGCGATCAGGAAACGCTGAGTTCTACTGGCAACATTGGTTAGCTAGGCGCGGCAAATTCTTGTAGATGCCAGGACTCAAGTTCACCAGTACCTCACGGACATATCTTGGTCGACACCCCAAGGGCGTCGGAACCGCACCGGCCGGGGCGGCCATGGCCGCCCCACTTTTTCGGCCGTTTTTTTTATTTTTTATTTTATTTTTATTTTTAGCACACTGCAACAAAGCGCGATGATCTCAGCGCAAACGTGGCAAATCCTTGTCCCCGATCGTGGTTTGTTGCAGAATCAAAAGTCCATGTACACTGAAATGGCACCAAATGCCTGGGAATGCTTGCAATTGGCTTCAATTTTTGAATTTTTTTCCCGGGGGAGGGTAATGTTTGTCCCCGATCGTAGCATCTTCTTGGTTTTTTGCAGAATCAAAAAGTCTTTCATTGTAGTTACCATACACTGAAATGGCACCAAATGCCCGGAAATGCTTGCAATTGGCTTTAATTTTTGAAATTTTTTCCCGGGGGAGGACCCCCGCACCCCCCTTCCATGGCCGCCCCACTTCCAAAGTCGTTCCGACGCGCCTGCACCCACCAGCGGATTGAGAAAAATGACCAAGATGGCTTGGAGAAAGGACGTCTTCTCCGCGTGTCTTTCCCGACATCAAACAACAAGATTCGCTTCGGCACTGGCCCTTCGCTGTACAGAGTAGACCAGGGAGTCGTAAAATACCGGTATTTCACGACTAGACTGTACATCGCTGTACATCGATGAGCATGAACTCGGGTGCGTAGCCGCTATGACTGCACAAACTCTGGCATTGGCGGCATCGCCATGTTTTCAAAATGGTGGTCGACGCTTTTTGAATTTTGTATGGTCGTGGTGAGCCCTGAGTCTTTAGTTCACGTACACAGTGTAAAAACTGGACCGACAGCGCTCGTGGCTGTAAGGCCAGTGTCCTGTGACCGCTTGACTTCTCAACGGATTTCAATATCCTCACCAGTAGTTGCACAATAGTACTTGCATGGCAAATATCTGCACAAGGTTCAGGTAAGGGAGCATCTCATAAGTTCGCATTTTGTTTCTAAACGTAACGCATTTCGAAACGGGGGTAGGGGGGTAGCGGCCATTTCGAATAGAAAAATGACTGTTCGCACATTTTCTGGAACTGTACAATCTACTGTACTACTAGTGCTAGATCCCTGCAGCAAATGAGTGTGTTTAGGTGGAGATCTACCTGTGTTTGCAGATCAGCTACATGCATGCAGGCTACTCAGAGGTGTCAAATGTCACACCAGCCTGATCAAACTGTGTACCTGGCCAGCGTTTACAGCAGTACAGTTGTTGTGGAGGAACTATGCTTATTTGCGTGTACATGTCATTGATTGTACTTTGTACTCAGTATTAAAATGCGGTACTACTGTATGCCATTCACGACCGCTCTAGCAAAACATTCGTGTACATGTACATGACTGATTGTACAATCATGTACATACGCGCATACCATAGCATGGGACCGCATGGATGTGTACAGTAGATAAACACAGAAAATGTGCGATAAGACTTTCGAATAGAGGGGGGAGGTAGGGGGTAAAGTCTATTCGAAATGCGTTACGTTTGCAAAATAAATGCGAACTTATGAGATGCTCCCTAAGTATTTGTATGCACCATTGCAGTCAAACATCAACCACACAACCACATTGTCCTTGCGGTCAGCACAGAAGATGCAGTTAAGCATTTGCGGCAAGCGAAGAAGACTTGCATTTTCCCTTGCTGTCAGCAAAGAAGATGTGTTTGGTGCAAGGATGGTGTGCATGGCCCACTTTATCTCCTGATGTTGTAGGCCTGTCTATACGCCATTTGTGTGCCCAGCACGTTCGATTCCTGTAAGAGAGGTCAGCCTGTATTATTAGGTTCCCACTGGTGGGTCACATGACATGGCTTATCGATTTTATGATGTGTGTGTGTGTGTGTGTGTGTGTGTGTGCCGCTGAAGCAGGACCTTCGTCGCATGTCTGTTTTCCACATGCGATGCGTGCGGTCGACATTGGGTATCACACGCCATCATTGCTGGGATGACCACATATCAAACAACCAGCTGCTTGAGTGGTAGTTTGACTCTGAAACCATCGTCACCAAGGTTCAGCATCGGCGCCTCGAGTGGCTAGGCTATGTCGCCCGCATGGACGACGTGCGATTGCCCAAACAGTTGCTGTTTGGCACCCTGCCATCTCGTCGCCCGGCACATGGCCCACGTCGGCGGTGGAAAGACTGCGCTGTAAAGGACCTCCGCTCACCAGACCTTGAAGCGGACTGGTACAGAGTGGCCTGTGACTTTCGCCCAGACTGGAGGTTGGCTTACACCTCGGATGCCCCGGATCCCCTCGTACCGGCACCGGTGACTTGTTTCACATGCGCCCGGCACTTCGCACGTCTGGGCGACCTCGCTAGGCACAAGTGCACGGCTGAACGGCAGAAGCCGGTTTCGGAGCAGAGAGGTGCATGTCAGTGCCCTCAGTGTCATCGTTGGTTCCGGAGCCGCGGAGGCTTGGCTGTGCGTCGTTGCTCTGCTTCTACCTCGTGCCCAGTACCGACCGAACCAGCTGCTGTTGTCACCGGTGACACTACCGCTCGGAGTTGCTGCAATTCTCACTGTGATACCTGCAATCGTTGTTTCCGCTCAACCCAGGGACGCAACCGCCATCGCTGTTCAACGCACTGCCACCGTCCAACGGCCAGAGAACGGGACAAGTTCCCGCATATGTGTATCTGCTCTCGCCGGTTCCGACTAGTCTCGCATCTGGAGCGCCATCGGGTGGCGTGCTCTTTCTCTCTCTTTGCTGCCCCTCGGGGGCCCACGTGACCCTAGTGGTAGTGGCTCTACAGGACAGGACAGGTGTGTGTGTGTGTGTGTGTGTGAAAATGTAAAAATGTAAAATAGGGATTCATTGGCCAGAAAGAAGCCACTTCAATCAGCTGTGTGGTGTAGACCAGGCCAAAATCAGTGGCGGACAATTCATCAGCCTTGCAAGCTGTTGAGTGGCGTAATCCCAGCACAAGTTGCTATGTCTAATGTAGCTTGCTCGCAATTATCGCTTCAGTGACGGACAAGAGTATGAGTGTGGTTGTATGTTTGTGTGTTTTCCTCAGCTGCTGGTTTGGATACAAGTCTCAGCTATTTGTGTCGCTTCAGTGACTCTCTCATCACCTCACAGTACGCAAACACGGCGATTGTGAGTACAATGAATTCATCACAGATCGTGTGTCCCATCCCGGCATGGACTGCAAGTACCAAGAGATCTGTATCTGCTACCGTGGATCTCTACATAGTCACGTCGTCACAGATCAGAGTGCCGTTCCAAGGCAAGAAAAATCCCGCTTTCATCATTAACAGCTGTTTTGATGGTGCAAAGAATGGAGATGAGACGGACATTGACTGCGGTGGTTCGTGTACTAAGAAGTGTACAGGCACCAAGTCATGCAGGGCGACCTCTGACTGCATCGCCACATTTGCATGTATCAGCAGTGTTTGCACAGCAAGTAAGTCAAGTTCCCTGTAATTGGTTGCACGAACTGCTCTGCTGCTTGTCTCTATAGTCTATGCTGAATAATGCACCAGGAATGCATCCAGTCCCTGGCATCCTTGTAGGCTAGTGGTGTGTGCTGGAATCAGATGAGGAGGATGAGGGGGGTCGCTCTCACGACTCACATGATCAGTTAGTGCCGGCATTGCAGGGGAATCCTCTATTACTTGACGGGCTGACTGTCTGATCAGTGCAAGCCGCTTTTTACAAAGTGTTCTTCACATGGTTGTATACTATGATCTGTCATGAAAAATTCAATGATGGCGGATATAATGATCCTTGCCTAGCTCATATTCGACGTAATACAACATCAATAAAATAAATTTCAATTCGGAGCAGATTGTGAATAGCGGCTGGATAGAGCGGTTGTCAGCTGACAAACCTCCTTTTCTTTCTATGTTCCAAATAAACCATACTCGAGTGGATATAGCCTGGCCAATCTAGTCTTGTCTTGCTATTGTCTGGTGCCCTATATGTTTGTGTATTTGCTCCATCATGCTCTGGTCATGCTATGGTTGCCTGCGGGAGACAATCATGCTCTGGTTGCCTGCTTGAGACAATCTGGTGCAGCTAGTGTGATTTGTGCTCCCTGTCACAATCCGCGTGTGCGTGTGTGTGCGTGTGTGTGTGTGTGTGCGTGTGTTTGTGTGTGTGTGTGTGCGTGCGTGTGTGTGTGCGTGCGTGCGTGCGTGTATGTGTGTGTGTGTGTGTGTGTGTGTGTGTGTGTCTTGCAGCGTCGCCCAGCACATGGCCCACGCCGCAGATGGAAGGACTGTGCTGTCCGAGATCTACGTGCCCGTGGCGTGGAGGCATCATGGTATGATGTTGCATGTGAGTCTCGCGCGGAGTGGCGCAGCACCTACCAAGAGCCTGACAATGTGCCTGAGCCTCCGCCCCGAGTGGTATGTACGGTATGCGGACGGGATTTTGCACGGAAAGGAGACATGGCTCGGCATAAGTGTCTGGAGGAGCGTGCGCGGCCTGTGTCTGAGCAGCGGGGCGCCAGTCAGTGCGGGCGGTGTGGGCGGTGGCTGAGAAGCCGCGGTGGCTTGGTCCGGCATGTGTGTGCCTCAACGGTGGATGCCGCAGTGCCACCTGGAACTACCGGAGCGTCGGCACCGGCGGAGGGATGTTGTGCCGCGCATTGTGACAGGTGTGGTCGCTGCTTTCGCGGTGTCCGGGGACGGGGAAGGCATCGCTGTTCAAGGGTGGCTCATAGACCAACAGCAGCGGAGCGCTCAGCCTTCCAGCACGTGTGCATATGCGGCAAGCGGATGCGACTACCCGTGCACCTGGAGCGTCATCGAGCGTCGTGTCCTCTCTCTCTCTCTTCTCAAGTTTCCCAGTGATGGGATCACGTGACCCTTTTGCGGCAGTGACTCTACAGGACAGGACAGGACAGGTGTGTGTGTGTGTGTGTGTGTGTGTGTGCGTGCGTGTGTGTGTTTTCATTTACTCCAGCATGCACCGGCTCTGGCTGGGTGTACAAGGGAATCTGTCTAAGGAAATCCGTCGTTTCAGGAAGCTTCGACCAGGTACCGACATCGTGCACAGCGTATCAGCCTTCAGTGGCATGGACCAAGGGAGATTACACGGCTATCTGCACGAAGTTTGGTGGTCCCAGTAGCTGTACAAATGTCGATACAGATGCCAATGGAGGCAGGTGCAGTAACTACAAAGCAATTCTTGGTTACGAGAATACAGGTGTGCCCGATGTCTGGGTTCACATCAACACTTTCGCCTGGAACCCAACAATTTCAGCGACACCCGACTGCCAGATAAATCCTAATCCACCGGCCACACTTGTGTATGCTTGCCAGTGAGGTATGAGTGCTCCCCCCCCCCCCCTCCTTCCCTCAGCAAACTGCACTAAACATGCCAGTAAGGTGTACGTGCTGCTTCCCCCCCCCCCCCCCCCCTCCCCAGCACACTGCATTAGATTTGCCAGTGAGGTGTGAGTGCTGTCACCCCCCACCCCTCCCCAGCACACTGCATTAGATTTGCCAGTGAGGTGTGAGTGCTGTCACCCCCCCCCCCCCCCCCGGCACACTGCACTAAACTTTCCTGTAAGGTGTGAGTGCTGCCCCCCCCCCCCCCCTCCTCAGCACACACCCGTAACGCTGCACTAAACTCAAATAACTGGCCAGGGCTCAGTAAATGTTTTATTGAAGAACAGTGACGGTATCCCATGCCTAAATCCGATCATTCGTATCATTATGATTGTCTGGATCGTGGTCTTCGACTCCCCCCCCCCCCCCCCCCTCCACTATCCCCAGCCAAATATATACCAGTTTAGAGTATAGATTAAAGTGACTGAATTTTCTTACTCTCACTTTACCTTTTCTAGCTTATAACTATAACAAGAAACTAAAACGGTAGATCAACCATGGATACTTAATAATAATAATAATTCGCATGGATGCTTAATAATAATACTAATAATTCGCATGGATGCTTGTGTTGTCAATTTCTGTGAACCGTTCTACACACTGTATTAAAAGCGTGATATTTTCGCGGCGTTTTTAGTTCGCGTTTTCAGAACAGGTTTGCGAGGTTTTAATTTTGCGATTGCAGAATGGCATTCTTGCTAAACCTGTGGCATTCTTACTAAACCTTTCATGGATCTCCTTTTCGCGCTGTCTAAATTTCGCGATTTCCACGCGGTCGCGAATTTCGCAGAAATTAGACCATCGCAATAATTTCCCGATTTACAGTACTAGCTAGAGGATAGGTTTATTTTACACTGTAGATCTCCATGATGGTATAGAACAAGTAATTGCTGCTGATCACTACAGCTTCATACATACTTTAGTACACTGTATACTCAACATTGTCGGGTGCCTAGTGCCAGAGAACTTGTTACTGCTCTCCAAGAGTCAAGTGCAGTTTGTGAATGCACTGGTAAAGTCCAGTTTGTGAATGCACTGGTAAAGTCCAGTTTGTGCATGCACTGGTAAAGTCCAGTTTGTGCATGCACTGGTAAAGTCCAGTTTGTGCATGCACTGGTAAAGTCCAGTTTGTGCATGCACTGGTAAAGTCCAGTTTGTGCATGCACTGGTAAAGTCCAGTTTGTGCATGCACTGGTAAAGTCCAGTTTGTGCATGCACTGGTTAAGTCCAGTTTGTGCATGCACTGGTAAAGTCCAGTTTGTGAATGCACTGGTAAAGTCCAGTTTGTGCATGCACTGGTAAAGTCCAGTTTGTGAATGCACTGGTTAAGTCCAGTTTGTGCATGCACTGGTAAAGTCCAGTTTGTGAATGCACTGGTAAAGTCCAGTTTGTGCATGCACTGGTAAAGTCCAGTTTGTGAATGCACTGGTAAAGTCCAGTTTGTGCATGCACTGGTAAAGTCCAGTTTGTGAATGCACTGGTTAAGTCCAGTTTGTGCATGCACTGGTAAAGTCCAGTTTGTGCATGCACTGGTAAAGTCCAGTTTGTGCATGCACTGGTTAAGTCCAGTTTGTGCATGCACTGGTTAAGTCCAGTTTGTGCGTGCACTGGTAAAGTCCAGTTTGTGCATGCACTGGTAAAGTCCAGTTTGTGCATGCACTGGTAAAGTCCAGTTTGTGAATGCACTGGTAAAGTCCAGTTTTTGAATGCACTGGTAAAGTCCAGTTTTTGAATGCACTGGTAAAGTCCAGTTTGTGCATGCACTGCTTCCAACTCACAGTGTGTTGTTGTACACAGGTGCTATATTTCTGTGCCATGCACATGAGCTGCTGGCAACTCAGCATGTCAAACTGTGGGTGTCAGTCTGTGCTCCCTCTCGCGGGTATTTGCTAGCCTAGCCGTTGGTTGACGAATGCCATGTGTCTAATAGTTCGCAGTTTCCTATAATCTGGCCTTGCACCGAGCTCCCACGTCATTCACACATTACTTCAAGTGCTGCTCTGAGTTGCAATTTTCCTCTTATTTATGAGCTAATTGTGAACACCTCCCACGCGGCGTCGGAAGGTATTTGACATTGGTGTGGCCATGAAGAGGGGGGGGGGGGGGGGAGAGAGAGGTCGGGGCCTTCGCCCCCGGGAAAAATTGGAAAACTGCCATGGGCCCAAATAGCGGCCCATGGCAGTACTGCTTCAAGTAACATCCTACTACTATGGTAGTAGTCTGACTATGAAATAAATAATATTTCGTGCTACTTTGGTCAAACCTGCCGCACCGGTTCCGATACCCCTGCCTGAGTCCATCCCCGAACATTAACAGGCTCGGCTGCATGACAAGGATAAAAAAGTTCATGCGAAAGGAGGAAACGGGCGGTGAATATGGACACGGGCTGGCGTTTGTTCGGCGATGTTTAGGTGCTTAGAAGTTAGAGGCGTTATCACTATAATTATTTGTCACTGATATGTTCAGTTTGTGCATTTTGTACTATTATACATACACATGATACATGCTTACTCTTTGCTGGGAGTGGTCACGTGATGCTGCTGCTTTGTTTTGGTGATTACTGTACCCTTGGTTACTGTATGATGTTCCCGCCTGATTCGTGTGTTTTTATGCTGCTCCTGCTGCTGTTTTTGTTCGCGCTATCCTTTGCTTCCTCTTGGTACTGTCTCATCGTTTTTGTCAGATAATGACCACATGCACAGTCTTTGTTCTGGACTTTTGCTTCTGAATCTGAAGATGGGCCTGGCCCGAAAATTTATTTGGATTTTTTTTAATTTAAAATTATTTTTGGAAGAATTTGTAGACCGTTTTTTGGTAGTATATTTATTTATTTATTTATTTATTTCACCTTCCCGTGGCCAGAGAATATAGCTAGGCCAATGGAGGGAGGGGGGGGGGGGCGGTACGGTAGCCAGCCATGCATGGCTGTAAACAAAACAAAGCAAAAAAATAAATATTACACAGTCATGACTGGAGTGGTGTACAGCTAGCAGTTGCTACTTTTCAGTCTTTTGCCAAGTAGTTAGTTTTCATGGTTTTGGGGTGCGTGATTGCACTTCGACGGAGTCACTCATTCTTCGCTTCTTCTTTGGGCTGTAACCATGGTAACATCGATCAGAGAGCGATTTCCATGCGAGAGTGCATGGAGTCCAACTAGCTACTTATTACTTACTTCAAGACGTTTCTTTTCATGTGTTGTTCTTGACAGCACTTGAAACTATGATAGGTGCAGAACAGTCGTCCACTGTGACTCCGCAGTCAAAATAAGCTTGTGTTCATTTGTTCAGCTGTAGTCTCGAAACAGTCCGTCCAGGACCATGGATGATCATCACTATTTCAAAGAAGGAGCTCCGACCAACCTCTGATTTCCTACATCGCGGTCGCTAGTGAAAAATCGGCATTGGGACAAGAAAAGGCGGTCACCGGTCGCGTTCAGCAGGTAGTCGCTAGTCACTAGTTACCGTGCACATGATTGTATATTGATGATAGGGGTGAAACGATTACACATTTTGACTATAGAATAACCTAAACCTTTATCGACCGGTTATCGGTTATTTTTCGATTATTTCTTCCACAGATAAAAGACGTATTAGAAGCTGAAAAATGCAAAAATTGACTTAAAAAATTAGGAATTTAAAAACTGATCGTGTGGAGAAGAGAATTTTTTCTCGCACATTGGTCGATCTACTGTCGTGGACATGGAAATCCGGTCGCACGTCTATGCAGCCCCAGGGCGCTGGCCATGCAGCCGTGGATAAGTGGCACACAAATGCATTTATGCGCTGGAGCGCGCTGGTCGCATCGGATCAACATGTGCACTGCACGCAGCGTTCTGTACGCGCTGAGGGCGCTGTCCCCGATCAATCGACTGGATTTCCATGTCCACGACAGTACAATCACATCACGTGTATAATCATGTAGACAGTATGCATAATCGAGTAATCGAAACTCTTCGAATAACCGATTCGTTACCTTGCAACGATTTCTATTCCGTGTATTCAGTATAATCGTTTCACCCCTAATTTTGAATGTGAGACCGTCCGTGCCTGGCGAATTGGTCGGTAGTATCAGGCTGGTTACTAGTCACGGTGGTCGGTAGTACCATGCTGGTCGCTAGTCACGGTGGTCGGTAGTACCATGCTGGTCGCTAGTCACGGTGGTGGGTAGTACCATGCTGGTCGCTAGTCACGGTGGTCGGTAGTACCATGCTGGTCGCTAGTCACGGTGGTCTGTAGTACCATGCTGGTCGCTAGTCACGGTGGTCGGTAGTACCATGCTGGTCGCTAGTCACGGTGGTCGGTAGTACCATGCTGGTCGCTAGTCACGGTGGTCGGTAGTACCATGCTGGTCGCTAGTCACGGTGGTCGGTAATACCATGCTGGTCGCTAGTCACGGTGGTCGCTAGTCACGGTGGTCGCTAGTCACGGTGGTGGGTAGTCACGGTGGTCGCTAGTCACGGTGGTGGGTAGTCACGGTGGTAGTTTGGTATAGGTTTTACTGTAGTTTGGTTGGTGGGTACAATTATGCCAGAATCTGGCATAATTGTATCAGATAGTGTTGGGTTTGTTGCCTACAGGCTGGGCTGCTTGAAGGTGTATTGTTGTACTTGCCACCTCTGTTGCTTTCAGGGTTAAGATACAGGGGCGTTCGAACCGGTGCGGCAGGTGCGGCCAAAGCCGCACCAATAATTTCATCTTCGGATTTTTGAAACAATGAAATATGGGCTATTTGGGCCCAGTTTCCCTAAAATGTTCCCTGGTGGGGGGTGGGGGGTGTGTGAACCCGGACCCTCCATCTAACTCATGGCCCCACCAATCAGTGTTGAATACCTGTACCTCTCTATAGATGTATCAGTGTTGAATACCTGTACCTCTCTATAGATGTATCAGTGTTGAATACCTCTCTATAGATGTATGCAGGGGCGTCGCACACGTTACGGTCACGACGGTATTGACCGTACCACTACTATGTATATGCCCAAAGTAGAGGGGACGGTTTCAAATAGGACACAGGTTGCAAACCGGAACGGACTCAATATTCACTTTCTCTCTTGGTATTTTGATTAGAAAACATATGTCACAGTGAGACTACGATGTGTTATACTCCGAGCCAAGATTTCATGGCTCTGCGATGACCAGAAGCGCCATATCAAGCAGGTGCGTTTTTGACGTGTTGCTTCGCACTGCGACTTGAGTTTTACGACTTTCGAAAAATCAACTTCTTGTCGCAGGTAAACAGCGGCTTGCCTCTCGCCAATAAAGCACCGCATACCAATCAAAACTAATGGAAGCACACACAAGGCTTATTGTTACTCTGTACTGGCCGTCGTAGAGCGATAGCAATTACCTAATTTCAGACCCAGAGTGAATTTGACGTGCACTCTTAAATGTGTCCGGTTTGGAGCCACCTCTGATTTGAACTTTTTTGAAGCGAAAAATTGGGCATTTTGGAGGCAATGGGTCAACACAAAGGAGTGGCTCAGTTCGATTGACTCTGGCCCCAGAGCAAACTTCAACATGCCAGTTTCCTTCCACAAACATATTTCGAGTGAAAAATCAACGCTGATGATCGGTTTGGGTGTATACAAATTTGGCTGTCAAAGCGTCCCGGTATCGAGCCGTCCCCTCTACACCGTAAATCAATAAAATGCACTGATTTGGGCTCTAGATTTCCAAAATTTTCGGCTCGGCCATCCCTCCCCCACGAGTAAATTGTGCTTCAGATGGCTGACCATACCACACTAATATACCTTCCGGCATTGCCCCTGTGTATGCAGCAAGAACGACCATTTATTAGGGGGGCGGGGGGGGGGGGGGGGGGCGGTGGCATCATCCCCCAGTATGCCGCTCTGAAAAAAATCGGATTTTGCGGAACATTTGTTTCATTTGTCCATAGGGCCTACTTTGGTAGATAGGTTTGCATAGCCCACTATCACACTCTAGTTCCTGCAGATAGGCCTCCTGTACAGAGTAACATATTTACACTACATATTCCAGCCTTTTCACTTATTGCAATCTTCCATAGCTTTTTGCAGATAGTGAATTTTGCGTGAAAGTCATTGTGTGCATGGGGAAATAGAAAAAAACGGTCCGAAGATGTAACTGTTTTGCACCTTCTATGTCAAGTCACACCCTTGCTTCTGGCTAGATTAACTCTTGTGTAATCAATGCTGCTAGTGAAGCTCATATCAGATCCACTCTAATTTCGCCACCCACACTCATATCAAGTATTACCCACACTGGCAGCACCGCCGGAAGCATTTTTCAATTGCTCCGGTCGTACCACAGTCTTTCGTACTTCTTGTATACCGTAAAGTCGCGGATAAAAGCCGGGCTTATAAGCACATAAGCCGCTTTCTGCATCAGGCTTTAATGCAAACCAGGCTTGTATGCAAACCATGCTTATATGCACCACACTTGCATAGAAGCCAGGCTTCTACGTGCGACACGCGTAGATCTACCACTGACTACCGGTATGGTGGCAGTTTTACTATGCACTGTACATAGGGCATGCACTCTTGACCTACCCGATCCGCGCTTGCATAGAAGCCAGGCTTCTAAGCGCGACAGGCTTATATGCATTTGACCCGTTTGATTTTCAGGCTTCTATCCGCGATGTGCTTGTATGCAAACCCGGCTGTTATCCGCGACTTTACGGTAATATGGCGGGGGACATATGCCCTGCGCAGCAGTAAATATGCGTTGGTAGCTACAAAGTTGGTCCTGTGTTAACCTGACCAACCGGACGGGTTCCGGCAGGCCTGACTGGGGGCAGTGGGGGCATGGGTAGCAGCAGTCCCGGGATCCCGGGACAGATACAGTAAAACCTGTAAAACCTGTAAAACCTGTGACTACCGACCACCCCTTGGTGCCAGCAAAAGCGGTCTTTAGTAGCAGGTGGTCTTTAGTTAGAGGTTTGCACCGCGTGACCATATGTGTATCCCATTATAAGATGTATGTCAAAATGCAGCTAATACAATTCCCCAGGACTTGCGCAATGTCATTCTTATTTCAGGTCAAACAACACTTGGAGAGAAAGACGGAGAGATGGAGAGAGAGAGAAGATTAATTTTTGCAGACTTCAAATTCAGCTGCTACTTCTGAAGCCAGGAGTCAAACGTTCCCTGGGGAAGTTTCGTTTTGCGCTGGGCTTCAAATTTGTTCATGCGATCAATCGTACCGACTGTCCTTGTTGTGACTTCTCGATTGCTTGAACGCGATCCTTCAGCATCAGGACCTTGTGGTGCTGCTTTGTTTCTGGATTCCTTGATGCCATCGTCGATCCGTCTGTATGACTGGGGTGACAGAGCCGCCCAGTCTTCGTTTCTCCTCCGAGTAGTAACATCGATCAGAGAGCGCTTTCGATGCGCTCTCCAAGACATTTCCTATCATGTTTTTTCTTGACAGCGCTTGAAATTTTGACAGGTGTAGTGCAGTTCACACCGACTCCACAGCCAAAATTACCTGCGTTCATTTGTTCAGCTGTAGTATCGAAAGAATCCTTTCAGGACCATGGAAAATCAGTAAAATTTCAAGAAGGAGCTTCGAGCAACATTTGATTTCCTACATCGCGGTCGCTAGTTACGGGTCAAAAATTGTCTTTTGGACAGGAAAAGGCGGTCTCTGGTCGCGTTCAGCAGGTAGTCGCTAGTCACAGTGCATTTTGAATGTGAGACCTTCCGTGCCTGGCGAAGTGGTCGGTAGTACCAGGCTGGTCGCTAGTCACGGTGGTCGCTAGTCACGGTGGTCGCTAGTCACGGTGGTCGCTAGTCACGGTGGTCGCTAGTTACAGGTTTTACTGTATACCCCGCTTGGTTCACAGATATACCCCGCTTGGTTCACAGATATACCTCGCTTGGTTCACAGATATACCCCGCTTGGTTCATATAATACCATACTCAGGCAGCTTGGTTCAAAAAATACCCCGCTCAGTTCACATGGGTCACTGCAAGTAAATAAGGGAGTTTTGTTCGTCACGGTCTAAATTTGGCAAATTACCATGGGATAAATGGATTATACCATTCGTACTCTGCGCATACCATGTCCCTCATATTCTTGAAAATATTCAGCGGTATACCCCTATACCCCTATACCCCTATACCCCTATACCCCTCATAAATTAAAAAAAGTACAGTTAGCCGGATTGGCGGCCGCATTTCCTGACGTGTTGAGGAACACATCAAGCAAATACATTCGCATCCGCGGGCCACCACTTCACCCATACATGTAAAATCATGTACATTCACATCGGCGGGCCACCACTTCACCCATACATGTACATTCGCATCGGCGGGCCACCACTTCACCCATACATGTACATTCACATCGGCGGGCCACCACTTCACCCATACATGTACATTTACATCGGCGGGCCACCACTTCACCCATACATGTACATTCACATCGGCGGGCCACCACTTCACCCATACATGTACATTCACATCGGCGGGCCACCACTTCACCCATACATGTACATTCGCATCGGCGGGCCACCACTTCGCCCATACATGTACATTCACATCGGCGGGCCACCACTTCGCCCATACATGTACGTTCGCATCGGCGGGCCACCACTTCACCCATACATGTACATTCGCATCGGCGGGCCACCACTTCACCCATACATGTACATTGACATCGGCGGGCCACCACTTCGCCCATACATGTACATTGACATCGGCGGGCCACCACTTCGCCCATACATGTACATTTGCATCAGCGGGCCACCACTTCACCCATACACTGTATATCCTCAATGTCGAATGCAGACCTCACAAGTGAGTCAGGGGATACAAGAGGGGATAAGTCTCTCAACAAGCGGGCGTGGTAAAATCCATACAGCACACAGTACAGTCAGTAGCGCGATCAGATCTCCCCACACACTGTACACGTCATCAGATTTCCCCACACACTGTACATGTCATCAGATTTCCCCACACACTGTACATGTCATCAGATCTCCCCACACACAGTACATGTCATCAGATTTCCCCACACACTGTACACGTCATCAGATCTCCCCACACACTGTACATGTCATCAGATCTCCCCACACACTTTACATGTCATCAGATTTCCCCACACACTGTACATGTCATCAGATCTCCCCACACACTGTACATGTCATCAGATTTCCCCACACACTGTACATGTCATCAGATCTCCCCACACACTGTACATGTCATCAGATTTCCCCACACACTGTACATGTCATCAGATCTCCCCACACACTGTACACGTCATCAGATCTCCCCACACACTGTACACGTCATCAGATCTCCCCACACACATTACATGTCATCAGATCTCCCCACACACTGTACATGTCATCAGATTTCCCCACACACTGTACACGTCATCAGATTTCCCCACACACTGTACATGTCATCAGATCTCCCCACACACTGTACACGTCATCAGATTTCCCCACACACTGTACATGTCATCAGATTTCCCCACACACTGTACATGTCATCAGATTTCCCCACACACTGTACATGTCACGATTGTAATAGTGAAATGTACTTGTAACTAAAAGCTCGCAAGGCCCATTCCTCAGATGCACTAATGCGATGGTTCCTTTTCTCGTACTTCAAGTACCGTACTGGCAATATATGTTGCCGCGTAACGCGTAACGCAGGGGGGTGCGGCGTAACGCGCGACCAGGCTAGTGCGACAAATTTTCGTTGAGTTCGTAACGCGCGTCCGGCGGGGTGCGGCGATCTTTTCACTCAAAATGATGCGGCAAAAGCAAAAAAAATGATGCGGCAATAGCAAAACAGTGATGCGGCAATAGCAAAAAAGTGATGCGGCAATAGCAAAAAAAGGACTGCGGCAATATAGAAACCTGTGTAACGGCTCCTGTGCGACTTTGCATGTAACGCCCTGCGTGCGGCAAACATGTGCCAATGTAACGCTTCATGGCCTCACTGCGGCAACATATATTGCCAGTACGGTAGTAAGATTCTGGAGCACTGATGGCCGTGAGGAGTTGCATTTAATAAAAAGCAAAACAAAACAAAAACAGCACATTGGCCCTATTGTGTACGCCCTTGCACACGCCATGTTGCTTAGGAAATAATGGATATCTGTCATTATCTGAGCACTTATTGGTGTACATGTATTGTCTCTCTGTTCTCCGTGGGTTCCTGCAGCAGTCTACATCGTTCATGTTGCATGAATTACGTAAGCGTGCAAGTGCGCTGGACACAGAGTGTGCAATGTGAAGGAAGCAGCAGCAGGGTAAATCTCTGCCAACGGCAATGTACCCCCATCTTGTCAAGTGAGTTTTGCGTGAGTACGGCTTCGACCAGCTCCAGATACCAAAGCTGCCCCTGCTCTGGAACCGTTTTTTCGCTTGGATATGGCATCAGAATATCTAGTGTTTGTAACGATCGATGTGGGTGAATGGCCGAACTGCAGTCGGTCATTCCACGCCAGTCTGTTAGCCGCAGGAAAACGTTCTACTGGTGTAAAGCCATTGCCTACTTTCATTTGTCCCCTCCATCCGCCAAGTGCCAAAAGATTGGGCGTACGGAGATTCTCCAAGTGCAGTGCACTGTCCTGCTCTCCATGACCATTGCCATCCCGCTCAACACAGTGAGACAGTCAAAACGCAAGCGGACTGCATCGTAGAAAGCTGAATGGCAGCAAGCCCGTGTCTGAACCAAAGCCAGCCCATACCGGAAGGTTTTTGCAATACCGGTATACAGGTACCGGCTATACACCATTGCTACTATTAGCTGTCTGCAAATGCCCTTGCAAGGGAGGCCAAGTCAAAGACCCCGCGATTGTATTACATCTGATTCCCGACCTGAGCTCTACTGAACGCTTTGTTCACCAAGTGATATTCTGTTCAGTGCGAGTACTGGCTTTGAAAATTAGTACAAGTTGGGTAGTGGGCATAAACGCTCAACCCGTTTGCAAAACAACAACATTGTCGCCATGGAGTGTTGCTGGTGAACTGTTCATACTGGTGTTTGCTCAGGAGAGGTGGCTGTATTTTGGGGGGGGGGGGTAGTGTTGGACATGCAGCTGCGTTTGTGTCACTTTGTTGTACATGCTGCTGCACCGTCTTTTGCCCCCCCCCCCCCCCATACGCACTTTCCGTACTTGTCCCTGTTGTATTTGGCCGTGAGCCGTCTTGACCTCACTTCCCGTTCGGGACTGTTTGTACCACCATTTGTTCACCTCTTTCGCTTCCGCCTTCGCGCTTTCCCCTCACGCCTCAATAATATATCCCCTTGTCTCGTCTTATCTCGGTGTCCTTTGTCCAGTTGTCTCCTCAAAGTAAGATCAAAATATACATCTACTCGTACCCTCTGTAACCAAAGCTATTCGCCCATTTTTGGGCGTGGTTGCGAAGGGACAATACTTCGTTCTTATCTAGATGACTCAAGCGTCGCGTGGTCCCGTGTGGTCGGGAAAAATGAACCAGCTACAACTTTGTCAGAGTTTGCTGATGGAGTTGTCAGTGCTTTTGTTCCATCAGTTCAAGTCTGGTTCGATGTAGGGCTGAAACGATCATCAATAACTCCTAACGATCAACCAATATCATTAACGGTCGATATATTGGTTTTATCGATTTTTATCGGCTCTATCGAACACCAGTTTATGAAGAATTTCCATGATGCTTTTGCTACGTCACAAATTTGTGGCACCGCACTGTTGACATCTGTAGATATCTGGCTTGGTTTATCAACATAAACTACTCAAGTAGAGAATTTCATGTTGTTTCTAGAGCGAAGAATCTTGTCATCACCCTCTGGGAACTGCTCTCATCTCCGACTTCTCCCACAAATGAACCGAAGAAAAGGCAAAGTCTTCTCTCCTCATCTCTTTCAAAGCCACAAATCAATTTACTGCGCTTGAAAGTACATGATTGCACTCGTATCCACTATAGGATGGAGTGCAAGGGCTAGAATACTGTCACTGATATGCATCCATAAAAATCATTAGTACTCGTTTTGAGCAATAGTGATTATCGATAGCAACCTTAACGATCGATATGCGAGTTATCGGTATAATTGTTTCAGCCCTAGTTCGATGTGTACTTTCCTTGCAGTCAAGCTGTGCTTTCTTGTCGATCTGGTTCTTTCTTTTCCCATACCCATTTTGCCATGGCGTTCTTTGCTGCAATATCAGCTGTGGAAGGGCTTCATGCAGCTGTTCATGTGTTGAGTAGAATTGTTTCTGTTGCTGTGGTGTGCTGCTGCTGTTCCTGCTGCTGTGCTGTTGCTACCTCTGCTGTTGCTCTGGTGTAGCTGTCGCTGCTGCTGCTGTACAGTGCTGTGGTGTTGCTGTGCTGTGCTGTATCAGTGGTGTGCTGGGTTCTGGTTGTCTGAAATTGCCGGCCTAATCTAATATTGTTATTTCCAATTTTCAGCGGCCAGGGTACTACTATCAGTACATTGTGGCTGTTTGAAATGGCCTGGGACGGCTTGTTTTGATATTCTCGTGTGTACATACCGGCGGGTCACCGTGTTCTGTGGGTTGTGTCTCACAGAATGGGGTAAGCTTATGATTATGACCATTCAGAAAAACCTCTCCTCGCCGACATCGGTGTCAAGGGAGGACAGCTCGTCGCAGTCCCATTGATTTTGTGTATATTAATTTTTAGTATGTGCAGACACTTGAACATGCGGTCGCCTGTGAAATACGAATTGCGGACACTCTTGCCTGCTCACAATACTGTGTTGCACTGTGTGTACTGTTCAGTGATGTCTGATTGCTTCGGGTGAACTCTGAACTCTTCCTCGTTTGTCAGAGATTGACGGCCGAGCTCCAGGCTCTCCACAACGAACACGAACGATAAGGACGTTAGTACGCTGTTGGGGAGGGAAGGGGGGGGGGGAGAGAGACTGGCTGCTGCTCTGTTCCGGACAGGTAGTCCATACTCAAGCAAGGGGCGGATAGAGAGCTCCAGGCTTTCGGCAACGATCACGAACGATGGCACGCTGTTGGGGAGGGAAGGGGAGGGGGGCTGGCTGCTGCTCTGTTCCAGACAAATGATCTGTACTCAAGAAAGGGGCGGACAAAATCCTTGAACGTAACGACTCGACCAGGCCGGTGTAAGATGGCCAGTGCCCTGCAGAGGAAGCCGATGCGTTGAGAGGCATGGATGGCAGCCATCCATCGGTGCTCTCCATAAAGGAGCTGGCTGTCGAATGTCACTCCCAGCATGCAGCTTGAGGGATTCCACCCCGTCAACTGCAACACCATTGAATAGAATGGACGGGATGGACCAGCAGATACGATGGCGTGAGATGGTCAAACAGGCGCCATAAGAAGTAGTGCCTGGCCACTTGGAGTAGCCTACATTAATACACGCAGTCACCTAGCAAATTGAAACTTGAACGCCATTGCAAAATGGGTATGGCAACTTGAACACCACTGCAAAATGGGCATGGCATTACCAAAAATCCCCTTGCCACTGCAAACAGCCACATGGTCTACACAACACAGTGAGCTGGCAACTTCAAACACCTACCATTACAACACGGGCCTTGGACCATTACAACACGGACCTTGGACCGATGCACCTTCGGCAAACAGCAGTACCTGGTCACACCATAGCAGCATAGGTCTATCAAATGCAAACACTGAAACAGACACAATCCACAGAACACGGTGACCCGCCGGTATGTACACACGAGAATATCAAAACATGCCGTCCCAGGCCATTTCGAACAGCCACAATGTACCCTGGCCGCTGAAAATGGAAAATTGGAAATAACAATATTAGATTAGGCCGGCAATTTCAGACAACCAGAACCCAGCAACAGCACTGCAACAGCACATCGACAGCACTGCAACAGCACAGCAACAGCGCAGCAACAGCACTGCAACAGCAGAGCAGCATTTCCTATATTAACCTAGTACGAAGTCAATACAATACTTATCACGACTGTGTTCAATCACTAATTAGTAAAAAGGAGTCAAATATAAGCAGTCAATATAGCCCTAAGGAGTGAAATATGCAGGAATATTTGACTGCTTAGGTAAATCCTTGGAAGTCAATACTAAGAGAGTGAGAAACACATAATTGTACTTGTACGCCCATGTACGTGACCACACAAGACACAAGCGGTACATAAATCATGTACTTGACCACACAAGACACAAGCGGTACATAAATCAAAGTAAATCAGTAGAAACGAATGGGTTTTGTGACTTCCATATGGAGCGGTTGCATGCATCAGTTTGTGGAGAACCATAATTCTGCTGCTGAAGTATACAAAACAGAGTAAAAAGATCAAGTCACTAATTTTGAGTGCTTGCTACTTGCATGATAAAAAAAAGTTCAATGGCAGATGTGGCCAGCGGGTGAAGAACCACCCGAACACTAGCAGACCAAGGCGTGAGAGTAGACAACACATAAGGACAATAGTACACCCCTTCAGAACTGAATAACTAATGGTAGATCACTAACGTCAACTGGGAACGTGTCAATCTGGCAGTACAGTCACGTGTGAGAATATGGATCAGTTCAACTTTGAAACTAATGAGAAGAAAATGCCTATGCGTGCGTCACTGGCCTGAAGCTGGAGGGTGTCGACGACATGGCCCGTTCACATATTCTGCATCGGAACGACCTCCCTTCATCCGCAGCCCTGCAACAAATACTTTCTTTTGTGACCAATCTGCTCCCAACAACTCACCCATGCCTGCGAAACCAGACTGACCTGCTATTAGGAATTGACATTGGCTAAGAAGATAGAGGTCAAAAAGAATACGTTCGACGGCTTGGGCTCGTGTTTTTGCATTATCACCAGCTCCTCCCATATTCGATTCCATCAACAGCCGCACAGGGCCAATGCCGGCATGTTCGGTATCAACCAGAACTCGCTTACGACCAGGTTGTAACTCTCTAGCAGCCTCCAGAAGAGATTTTGATACAGCTGGCTTGTCACTGACTAAGATCCACGGTACGGCCGCGCTAAAGCCTGCATAAGATCCAGGTCGTGGAACACGCTTCTCAACAGCCATAGCACAGGATGCGAACTCTTTCATTTTTATATCAGGCTTGAACTTGGCCACCTTGTCAGAAAAGAAAGCACCCGTGCGTACATGAAAGCACACAGTTCTATCCAAGCAGATATGATTCTCCCGTAAGTACCTTTCAACTGCTACGACTGTGTCCTGCTTGAAGCGGAACAGACGACGAAATACAGAACGAAACAGAGGTTCGTGGTTCTTTGCGCCAATCGCTTCAAAGCCATGTTTCTTGTTGAAAGCATTCACTATAGGCATGGCACAGTCAACACCGAGGTTGTTGCCATTCCTAAGGACTTCCGTCAGAGAGGTATTTATAGCTAGCTGCTTCAGGACCTCACAGTTGAAGCGAGCATCAATAATGGGGCTGATGATACCGGGTATATGCGATGCTGCATCAGGCGCAGGCAAAATATCCTTGCCCATTTTTCGTGCAAGCTCAAAGCGCGAGGCAAGTGGCTGACAATCAGTCACATGCCAGTTAATTGTCCCTTTCTCTCCAGGCAGCAGTGATTCCTGTTCGGCTAGGTCAAAGTACGTCTCCACAGGGAAATGAGAAGGTGAATTGATGAAGTAAGCTCTTTCTGTAACTACAGCTAGAGCGTAGCCCGTCATAAATGCATTCAGTCCTTCGCCCATGGCGTAACAGGGCTGCCGACAAGTCAATACTAGGGCCGACAATGGTCTCTTGCCACTGCACATTTCTTCTTGCAGAATCGCATGCCTGTTGAGAAGATTGATCCAGTCGGATGTTTGTACTGGCTTTGGGTACGTTATGTCCCAATCGTATGCATTCCAATCCAGAGGGTTTTTCGGCAACTGTGATTGTATTTCTGCTGGACGAAGTGGAGGACACCTTCCCAATGCCAATGGGTCCGTGCCTGTCACATTCCCCGTGAAAACCCCATAGTGATCACTACTGCGCAAACTCCACCACATCGACCACATCCACCACATCAGTGCAGCAAGGAGACATGCTGTGAGGCCAATGAACGACATACGCCGGTAGATTCCACTGGGGAAACGCAACCTCGCCATCTTCTATCTCCAACCGTGAGCACGTGTTCCAGTATTCCAATCAGTAGCTGTGCTGTGCTCAGCAACACCGTTACAAGACTACTACTGACACGAATTAGTCTGTGCGGCCTTCAGCTTTGTTGAGGTAGCTAGATTTATTAACGTTATTAGTAAAATAGGAACATTGTTAGCGCAACCTAGCGCAAGCACGGGAAATATTAGATTGGTTGAGCAGGAAACCAGGGTGCTGGAGACTTGCGCTGCAAATGCAAGACGAAAGCCGAGGGGAGGATGGTGCACTATGATCCGCCAGGACGCTGGACTAGTCCGAGTAGTCCGAGTCCTTCTTCTTGGACTTTGCCCGCTAGGTATAGGCACTAACTAAATAATATAATAATGCAAGAGAAAATTTTTAATTAAAATTATTTTAAAAATCTCTTTCCCTCAAATCAGTCAATATTTTAAAAATAATAATAATTATTATGCTCTTGCAACGCCAAGGCCCAAGGCCTAGCGCCTTTGCCTTTGGCCGGCGTTGGACTTGGTATCCGGACTTTGTACATGACTGTACATGTAGAGGATGCATGGTGCTGGTGAAGTGGTGTTCCAACCAAACACGTAGTCGTAGATTCTACAGTAGATCTACGTACGTGTGTAGATCTACTAAGTACGCGTCGGTCCGGATGCGCATGCGGTAAACTCGGCCTTCACTTCACTAGTCTTCAGTCCAGAACTACGTAGAAGCACTGTACTCTCTTGTCTGTAGTACAGACAGTGTACAATTTTGTAGTCTTGTACCATGTGTACAGTAGTCAGTACTACAGTACTACTATTACTAAGTACAAGTCTTGTAGATGTACAGACCAGAGAGTGGTATTTTACGACTCCCTGGTAGTGGTACAGACCGACACTGTGACTCGTGTGTGACTGTGAGTGACCATGGACATGGTGACAACTAGTACTACCGTACTGGCAATATATGTTGCCGCAGTGAGGCCATGAAGCGTTACTTTGGCACATGTTTGCCGCACGCAGGGCGTTACATGCAAAGTCGCACAGGATCTAGGAGCCGTTAACGTTACACAGGTTTCTATATTGCCGCAGTCCTTTTTTTTGCTATTGCCGCATCACTTTTTTGCTATTGCCGCATCATTTTTTGCTTTTGCCGCATCATTTTGAGTGAAAAGATCGCCGCACCCCGCCGGACGCGCGTTACGAACTCAACGAAAATTTGTCGCACTAGCCTGGTCGCGCGTTACGCCGCACCCCCCTGCGTTACGCGTTACGCGGCAACATATATTGCCAGTACGGTAGTAGTAGAGTACTAGTACTAGGACAGACTCGGTGCCAGTGCAGTGACAGACTAGACTAGACTGTGCGCTGTACAGCCTGGCTGTAGTGTAGACTGTAGAGCTACATCATCCAGTACAATGACGACATCATTACATGACATTGACATTGTACAATCAATGCATCATGTTCATCATAAAATTTCGTGAGTAGAGTCTACGCGATATGCTCACACACACTAGCTGTCGTCGTGTCGAGCGAGCTAGGTCTCATTCATCGATCAGCCGAGCGTGTGCGATTTTCATAAAACAGTCTTTCGTCTCTCTTTTTGGTTTCCCAAGCTCGAGTACTCTCGTGTTTCTTGCCCGTCTTGTCAGTGCACCTAGTGTGAAGTGATGTCCATGGTTGATTATTGTTGAGGGCTACACTACCATGGTCAGGCTGCTAGTCTCGTCCACCACGTCCTTGTTGAGAAGTAGAACAGAGTGATCGTTCCGTAATTGTAACCCACTCAGGTGCCGTGCACCAATTCAGATTACTTCACCGGTGCACCTGTACTGTGCACCTGTAATCATGGTAATCCCGCATGCCGCACTGCACTGCACTGCAACATAGGTGTTCCGCGAAACCGGTACAGACAAATGTCGTTGTTTGAACGATTCTCAGCTAGCAGCTACGCTCAACACGCTCAGCTACCGTACCCATCATGCTAGCGATAGTGGAGGAGTTCTCCTGCGTCGGCATGCTCGCAGGCAAACTCGTTCACAAAGACGTGCCGACGACCATTCGAGTCGTCGTTTCGTCTGCTGAAATAAAAGCAAACATCGCGTGCAAATGACGCCTGAGTCAGTGAGTGGAGACTAGCTTTGCTGGACGAATAATTATCCACATTCAACCTGGTAGTTTTCGCTTTATGGAGGTAAGCAACTAGCGCTGGACTTTTACTCTCATGTTCTACAGCATAGTATACTTTCAGCGTGCGCGCGTGTGTGCGCGTGCGCGCGTGTGTGTGCGTGTGTGTACAAGTTGCTATGTCTAACACAGCTTGTTCGCTATCATTGCTTCAGTGATCGGCAGGTTTATTATATTATTATATTTGAGGATTTCCCAAAGACATACCGTATTTTACCGGTTGCAAGTCGACCCCGGTTATAGGTCGACCCTCATATCAGGAGGTTTCAATTCTGCGTTTTAAAATTTTCACCCAAAGAAGCACTACTAACCACTCCCTGCTACTAACACAACAACAAATCATGTAAACATTCCTTATTGGAGGGTGTTACATCCCAATCCTTGAAAAAGGCCAAAAAACTGGCAAAAAATGTGTACACATGATGCACTCGTGCATACAGTGCAGGTCATTTTTTGTAAGATACTGATAGTTAATACTCATACTGATAGTTCCCGGTTATAAGTTGAATCCCGGTTGTAAGTCGACCCCCACCCTTTCCCCTTCTATTTTTAGTCGTAAAAGGTCGACTTACAACCGGTAAAATACGGTAGTCTAAATTTAAGGGAGTTCCATTATAACGGGAGGCTGTAAGGAGTTTCTTCAGAATTCCCAAACTCCATTGCAGCGTATTTCTTGCACTTGAAAACACCGCCATTCCGGCAACAGGCATGCCCTGATGATGCCCAATGGGCGAAATATTGGCAAAGTTATTTATTTGGTGCAGCTGAGAGCCTGTTGCCGGAATGACGGTGTTTTCAAGGGCTGTACGGAGTTCCATTATAATGGGAGGCTGTAGGGAGTTCCATTATAATGTGAGGCTGTAGGGTGCAGATAGCAAACAGTGGATGTCTAATGAACAGCCTAGCTAGATGTTCATCTGGATTCAGCTTTACGTCCATCTTTGACTCGTTGAGTCCCTCGAATGAATCGATCAATTCGGCATGTCCGATGGCGGCTATTACGTACAAATGTAGGCTATTTGCAAGGGACAGTAGCAGTGAGGTTACGTCCTGAAACTTGCAATGGGGTAGACTACCACCATACAGTAGCAATGAGGTTACGTCCTGAAACTTGCAATGGGGTAGACTACCACCACCAAACAGTAGTCTGCTAGAAAATGTCCCCAAGCACCAACACGTGTCCTTGATTGGCTTGAATAAAGTTATCCACTGAAAATCACTTGCGGAAATAATCATATTTTCGTGTCTCCAACGACAATGCGCTAGCTGAATCCAATCTCGACCATGTGCTAGCTGAATGCAACCTCGACCATGCGCTAGCTGAATGCAATCTCGACCATGCGCTAGCTGAATCCAATCTCGACCATGCGCTAGCTGAATCCAATCTCGACCATGCGCTAGCTGAATCCAAGCTCGTGGCAGGAAACCACACGCGGAGCGCCTCCATATGCCTTTTCGATAAGCTACCAGCACTGAAACATCATGGGAATGATCCCTGCCCTCGCAGAAACTAGAATGATACCCTCTGGTATGGGTGGGTACCTGGGCAGTGCCGGGTGTTACAGGTGTGTACCCAGGCAATACTGGCTGCTACAGGTGTGTACCCAGGCAATACTGGCTGGTAAGGGGTATTTACCCGGGCATTACCGACCGGTAGGGGTGTTTATCCGGGCATTACCGACCGGTAGGGGTGTTTACCCGGGCATTACCGACCGGTAGGGGTGTTTACCCGGGCATTACCGACCGGTAGGGGTGTGTACCCGGGCATTACCGACCGGTAGGGGTGTTTACCCGGGCATTACCGACCGGTGCATGCCAGTATTTCCCATGTACACACTCGCACGCGGACTGCAACAAGGATGTTGGACTTCAAGATGGCAATGCAGCGCATAGAGAGGATAAGCTCTGGAATGGTCGTGGCACGCACTAAGCTTCAGGTCCTGTCGCTATGATCCTCTAAGCTTCAGGTCCTGTCGCTATGATCCAGAAAGTTGCATGTATTCAGGAGCTCTCGCGCCAACAAATCACTCCAATCGCGAACCGTGAAAATGCTGCTGCATTTTTGGGACAATATCCCAAATATGCAGTCATGTGCATTGGCTCATGGCTAGCTGTTGGGGAAAACCCCTTGTGACTTGTGATACAATAACAATAATTATCATGATTGTACAGTGCTTGTGCTTTTGGTGTTCTTACATGTAGTGGAGTCTTGCCTGGGCTGCTTGCTTTGCAAGTTTTTGTAAAATAATCAATAATTCCGCAACTCCTGTTTGCTTCACTGTGTTTTGCAGACATGGCGTACCGTGTTCAAAGCAACAATTCGTTTACGTTGCATGTGGCAGAGTTGCTTGAAACTGGTAGCCAGGACCTGGGCTCGCGAAGTGACGAAGGTGCCTTGCTGTTACCGTCGTTGGAGAGGAAAGACTCCCCCGGCTATGCTGGTAAGAGTGTGTGATGTGGGTTGTGTGGCCTGTGTGGCCTGTGTGGGTTGATGTGGGTTGTGTGGGTTGATGTGGGTTGATGTGGCCTGTGTGGATTGATGTGGGTTGTGTGGGTTGATGGGGGTTGTGTGGGCTGATGTGGGTTGTGTGGGTTGATGGGGGTTGATGGGGGTTGTGTGGGCTGATGTGGGTTGTGTGGGTTGATGGGGGTTGATGGGGGTTGTGTGGGCTGATGTGGGTTGATGTGGGTTGATGGGGGTTGATGGGGGTTGTGTGGGCTGATGTAGGTTGATGTGGGTTGATGGGGGTTGATGGGGGTTGATGTGGGTTGATGGGGGTTGTGTGGGCTGATGTGGGTTGTGTGGATTGATGTGGGTTGTGTGGGTTGATGGGTGTGGATGTGGGTTGTGTGGGCTATGGATGGGGGTTGTGTGGGCTGATGGGGGTTGTGTGGGCTGATGGGTGTGGATGTGGGTTGTGTTGTTAAAACTACACGTAACTACAGTCTGTTTCAAAAAGATTTGCAATCCTGGCTATCGCCCGCGGAGTTTTCCCAAAGATTTGCAATCCTGGCTATCGCCCGCGGAGTTTTCCCAAAGATTTGCAATCCTGGCTATCGCCCGCGGAGTTTTCCCAAAGATTTGCAATCCTGGCTATCGCCCGCGGAGTTTTCCCAAAGATTTGCAATCCTGGCTATCGCCCGCGGAGTTTTCCCAAAGATTTGCAATCCTGGCTATCGCCCGCGGAGTTTTCCCAAAGATTTGCAATCCTGGCTATCGCCCGCGGAGTTTTCCCAAAGATTTGCAATCCTGGCTATCGCCCGCGGAGTTTTCCCAAAGATTTGCAATCCTGGCTATCGCCCGCGGAGTTTTCCGTCTTACGGTATGAGCGCTCGAGCGCTGCCTGGAAAAACTCACTGTGAACCCGAAGAAATATTCCGCGCGAAAGCAGGAAAAATGACAACTCACTCACGTTGATACAGTCATGTACGTCTGGTTTACAACAAACTAGTTCTTCCTCGTATCGATAATGGAGTCAGAGAGGACATGTCGAAACGAAAGTGTTGCAAATGTTGACGAGCGGCATGCGTCCCAATTCGTTTTGTGACCAAATAGTTTCTTTAAGCTGCGATGCAATTTACTCACCGTGGGACGACATCGACACGGACTCATTCCCAAGGCCATGACTAGGCAAACCTATCTGTGTGGCTTTGACGACATTTTGAGAAAAGCAGACGCCTGTGAACGCTGATAGAAGACGGCGTTGACAGCTAAATTCAAATAAATTGGCGATCTTGAAATACTAAAATAAATCTCAAAAAGCTTCAGCGCAATGACTTCCATATTCACTCACACCATTGCAGTGTTGTGGGTATGTTCACATGGCGTGAGCCAGTCAAGTGTCAGTCAGTTCGGCAGGAAGCGCGAGCTCCAACAACAAGTCGTTTGGTGCAGCCATCTTCTTTGTCTTGTACCAGCTTGATCACCAAAACAATGAAAAAAAGTTTGACTGGAGGATAGTTTGGGATTTGAACTCACAACTTCATGGTCAGCAGACAGCATTCATAACCACAAGGCCAAAAAGGAAAGGATAAATCGTGGGTTTTGATAAAAAAAACATCGATACTGGCTTCCAGGGCAAATTGTAAACCATGGGAAAAGGCCAGAAAGCTGGCCGAAATTGTAACTCCTTAACGGCTGTTCCAATTGTTCCGAAACCTTCACAGAACAATTTGCCGTGCCCTAACAAGCCCTTCTATGTACTTTGTTGTCCGTATTTCCCTTCTCTTCATACTTTTTAAGACCCAAACCTGATTGCATTTCATTTTGAAACGGACTGTAGGAGATATTGGCAGCAAAGCCTAAGATTAGGTGACAATTGGTGAATAGAAATATTTTATGGTTTTGTACTATTCGCTAAATGAGTGATCTGTGCACCACATGCTGGTACCCTGGGGCACTTTTAGACTGACAAAAAAGCCCACGCTCGCTGGTGCAACTTAAAAAAACAAAAACATTAGAAAATAGCATAATTATAAATTCTGTCGCAGTTGTCTTCTGGCGGAGTTGGTTGTTCTAAGTGAGTTGGTTGTTCTAAGTGAGTTGGTTGTTCTAAGTGAGTTGGTTTTTCTAAGTGAGTTGGTTGTTCTAAGTGACATTGAAATGGTTCAGATCTACATGAACTCTTGTGTGCTATAGCCAACGAAACGTCTAACACTTGTGTGCTATAGCCAACGAAACGTCTAGCCTCATTGTCTGTAAATGCTGCTATGCTACTATAGAGCATGACCGAGTATGCAGTGTAAATGCTGCTATGCTGCTATAGAGCATGACTATGCTGCTATAGAGCATGACCGAGTATGCAGTGTAAATGCTGCTATGCTGCTATAGAGCATGACTATGCAGTGTAAATGCTGCTATGCTGCTATAGAGCATGACTATGCAGTGTAAATGCTGCTATGCTGCTATAGAGCATGACTATGCTGCTATAGAGCATGACTATGCTGTTATAGAGCATGACTATGCAGGCAAGGTTATGTGTTGGGTTTGTGCTTGTCGTATGAACTAGTCACCAGCAACTTAGGACTTCCTACTGGCAATGGGTGTGTGTGTGTGTGTGTGTGTGTGTGTGTGTGTGTGTGTGTGTGTGTGTGTGTGTGTGTGTGTGTGTGTGTATGTGTGTGTGTGTGTACCCGGACTCCGATCTATCTTTGCATTCTAGTGACATCATCAGCCTGGGACAAGAGCACATCGCGATCAAACTGCACGGCGTCGCTAGGAAAGCAAGGTAGCAAGGAGACATTTGTAACGTGCAGCAGCAGCAGCAGCAGCTGCGGCGGCAGCAGCAGCAGCAGCAGCACAGATAAACCGTTGACTTCAGATCAGCATGATTGCAAGGAAGACGTGGAGAAAAAGCTGAAGTTCTGCCAAGCACAGGTCTATATCACTACTGTTCTCGTTTGGGTAAGCCTACTAAGATAAGAATAACACTTTCTGGTCTGGTCATGCAGTTGCGTGTGTGTGTGTGTGTGTGTGTGTGTGTGTGTGTGTGTGTGCGCGCGTGCACACACATCCCTTGCTCAACACATAACATAGAATGGCTTGAAGTAGTGTAGGCTGTGTAACCAAGGTATATAACTACCATTTTGGGGAGTGATGGCGGAGTGAACTACCGTCAGCTCTCACTCTTGTGAGAGTACTCGTTCTTCCAGCAATGTGCTGAGCCTGATGAGCAGCGGTGACGCTAGAGATGAGGGATGTTGTTCTGTTTTTAGGAGACATGGCTCGGGCAAAACCCGGTGCCGAGCGGGAACGTTCAATGCTCGCTCGTTGAGAAGTAAAATAAAGAAACAACTTATTATTCAGGACTTTGAACAATACGACCTAGACGTGCTCGGAGTGACTGAGACCTGGATTGACGGAAATGGAGTTGACACAATGGACAACGGACATGTCATGTATCGCTCTGGAGGGTCGTCTGGTCGTGCCGGTGTTGGAATACTTATCCACAAACGGCTAAGAAATAATATTGTCTCGTACAAATTCTACTCGGAACGAATCATCTCGATCCGACTCACTATAAATCCGCGCAGGGACAGCAGAACAGTTACCGTCGTGTGCTGCTATGCTCCAACCCTGCAGCGCTCTACAAAATATCCTGCTGAAGCTGACAGCTTCTACTCCGTCCTGAGTTCCATTGCAGGCCAAGTGAAACGAAGAGATGAACTGTGGATACTTGGAGATTTTAACGCCAAAGTAGGAAGCTCGGTCGGAGGGAGAAGTGGCCCAGTAGGTTCTTACTGCAAACATACATCTAACAATGCCAATGGTGATAGACTCTTAGACCTGTGTGGTGAGCATGGGCTGGTGCTTTGCAACACTCTGTTCAAGCACAAATTACAGCATCGCTCCACATGGTTTGCAGATGGATTGACATACTCTGACGGCCGTGCGGTGCGGAATATGATTGATTTCATCGCAGTGAAGACTGGTGGACTAACATCAGTCACCAATGCAAGATCATATGGAGGATTCCGCACCAGATCGGATCATCATCCTGTAATTGCCGACTTTCGTCTCTCATTTGGACCAGCGAAGCCTGCTCCAAAGTCTAAGGAGCGATGCTTCTCCAAATACAACCAACCTACAGAGATAACCAGGAAACTCTCTCAGTCAGCACTACTTGAAAATCTTCCGGAGATCCAGCTCTCCCAAGTATCGCCTCAAGTTATTGATAACCTGTGGGATGGCTTTGTGACGGTTGTGCATGGTGCAGCTCTAGGTGCATTTGGGAGGGCAAAGGTTGGACACAAGTCGGTCCGCAGCATGAGTACTGAAGTGTCTACGCTGTCACAACGCCAGAAAGAGCTTCACATCCAGAAGCATGCGGAACGTGATCCTGAAAGACGGCAACAGCTAGCAAGAGAACGCAATCAAATACTGCATAAAATACGATCAATATTACAAAAGGAGGGTGACCAATTTTGGCAGGAGAAAGCAACAGAAGCAGATGCATTACGGCCCGACGCACGGTCATACTACAATGCAATTCGTAACATCCGCCAACTTCGTTCCTCAGTCAGCCAGCCACCTGTCAGACTTGCAAACAAAGATGGTGAAATCATGGCGGACGTCCAGTGGAATCTCGATGAATTCCGCAAGTATTACTTGTCCGTATTCCATCGCGATGACGTCCCTGCTGCAGTCGACCACCCAGCAGATGGAGAGGTAACACCTGATGAGGAGCCATTTACCCAGGAAGAAGTTCGAGCAGCAATCTCACGGCAAAAACCGGGTGGTGCTGTTGGACAGGATGGAGTTTCCGCTGTTTTGCTGCAGGCCGGTAAAGATGCAATCACCACTTGGTTAACAACATTCTTCAACGCTGTTCAACTGGCAAAGTATTGTCCAGAAAACCTCAGACGCGGTTTGATCGTGCCCATATATAAGCCAGATAAGCCAGCCGGCTTCCCCAAAAGTTACCGACCAGTTATGCTTCTGTCGGTGGTCAGAAAGGTCCTGACCCGTATTCTCACACAGCGCTGCACTACATTCGTGGACTCATTTGTGCCTGAAAGCCAGGCTGGCTTCCGCCCTGGGCGGCCGACTGCGGACGGAGTATTCTTCACAAGAATGATGTGCGAGAGGGCCTTGCTAGGAGACTGGAGTTACTCAGCGGCGCTTTTAGATTTCAGTGGCGCATTTGATACAATAATCAGGCAGACTGCTGTTGACCGTCTGGCTTCGGCAGGTGCACATGTTAGCACTATTCAGCAACTAGTCTCCGAAACCTCTGCTCGCGTGAAGCTGGGAAAGCAGCTCAGTCAGTCATTTCCAACTAATGTTGGAGTGGTGCAGGGGGACCCCTGTCACCCCTTATGTATATTGTCTACGCAGAAGGTGTAATGCAGAGGATCAGAGAAGCCTGCCCAGAACAAGTCAATCTACCTACTAAGTTCACCCTGTATGCAGATGATACAACAGTGCATGAACACAGCCGGACAGCAGTTGAAGCGACCGTAGAGAAATGCGAACCCATCTTCGCAGAGGACAACTTAAAACTAAACATCAGCAAAACACAATTTGTAACAGCTACAAAGTCAGATGCCTCCTAGAGGTCGGTCAAACTGTTGGGTTCTCGTCTGGGGTCAGCGGAGGACATTGATGCACGTATCATAGCAGCGAACCGGGCATTTTCCAGTGTATCATGGAAACGCCATAAACAGCAGTCCCACTTAAGCATGTTCAACTGTCTCATTTTGCCAGTTCTCCTATATAACTGCGCGCTATGGACTCTAACAAAAGCCTTAGAAAGCAAAATTGATGTATGGCACCGCCGTAAACTCAGATACATACTTGGAATCATCTTTCCCAATAAAATTTCGAATAATGCTCTTTATGCTAAAACTGCTCAATGCCCGATAAGTGCAGTCTGTAGACGCCGGCACTTATTATGGTTCGGACATGTCATTCGTGAAGGGAAGGACGCTGTGTCCTACAAAGCCCTTCACATGGCAATGAATATAGCAGATATAAAGAAGCCCAGAGGTTGCGCAGTGGCCAGATGGGTAGACAACATCAGGAATGACCTTTTACTTCTCAATATGTCTCTTTTGGAAGCGAAGCAACTTGCCTCAGACAGAACGCACTGGCTCGACGTTGTCGACAGATGCATGACCCTCATTTGATTTTTCATATGAGCTATATGCGTGCTGTATTATTATTATTATTATTATTATTGGGGAATTTTCACAGGCTTCTTTAACCCATTCAGCGCTACTGGGCCTTGCCTATGGTACTCTGTATATAAAATGCTAAAAACAAGGCAAATAGAAAGCTCTAAAACTCCAGGGTTCTGGCAACTGGGTCCTCAAATATTTTGGAAATGATTGCCAAGACTATCAACCACAGGGTGACAGAATCGATACAGTCCCCGAAAAGAATAGCGCTTCACAATAGGGGACGCAAGTTTGCTCAAATTGCGTGAAATACGCTAAATGTGTGCAATTGCAGCTGAAAGATCGCTGAAAAGAGAAGAAAAAAAGACACATGGCCCGATATCTGAGACTTTCGACCTTCGGGGCTACGCGGTTTTTTTGAGAAAACACTAAAAACAAATTTGTTCGCAAAAAAATCGAATCTGTCGAAGCAAAGTGCAGAGACGACAATGGCGGAAGGAAATGGAAGGCGATTCTTGTGTCAGTTGGTTATTGGGCTCACGGAGCACAGCAGCCGCGATCCCATGGACGGTGATGCATCGTTCTTTGTGGATATCCTGTCAAGCGGCGACAGCGCTTCTAGTTCTGAGAGCGCATGTAAGTCGAATCGATCGCAAGTGACACGCGGTACTTACCTGTCGGGGGCGACGATGATGAGGACTTGGCCTGGATGAGTATGATCAAGGCCAACCACAGTCTGCCTCAGCGATAGCTGCTACAGCTCCAGGCAAGGACAACCAAGTGAATTCCTGAGGGTACGCCGCTTGCAAGGTCGCTGGCCGCCCTTGCGCGGGTGGCAGAACTGTTTCCTGAGTTTCACGCCAGACCTGCTAAAACAGCACAAAATGATGCGAGTTTTCTTTGCGACGATGATCCTAAAATGTTTTGGATGGCAAGCTCGATACTCGAGCCAATAATGGCGAATCAGACCATCACGGAGCACGTGAGGCTGGGCAATCTCGAGTACTAGTAACATTCTGTTACTTTTGAGTTGGTGATGTGAAACGCTTGTCAGGCTGTGTTACTGATGTTTGGAAATGGTCAGTCTCCACAAAGTGTGACAAAGCGAATCTGGATGATGTGATATGATGCTCATGTCTTATCACGTGACTATTACGTCATATATTTTGCCTGTGTATTACGTCACAACCAGCATGCGCCATCTTGGACTAGTCGCCTGAAGTGCATGCTTGGCTTGACCTGGTTGTCTGTTCTTACCTGTCTTCTTCACACTTGTATCTAATTGTATTCTTCCAAACCTCAACCTGTGTCCTTGAGTATTTGTGCATGACTGTGAAGGTAGACATCACATGGCGCAGTGAACATATCCTACCTGTTTTGTTGCTGCCGGTTTTTCATACCCTGTGTTTGCACCTCGTTGTGTTACGCGCAGGCCGGAATTTTCAAATTTGCATTTTGTTCGTGTCGAACCTGTTTCGAAATGTCGGACGGCGATGGCCAAGCCGAACTCTCTGGAGTCGCTGCTCTCACTAAGTTAGTCGCAGCGCAGATGCAAGCTGCCGAGGCCAGAGAACAACAGTTGTCCAAACTGTTTCAAGACACTTTGAAAAGTCTCCAACAGCAACAACAACAGCCCACGGGTTTAGCCCCAACGTCTACACGCTCGACACCCACATCCGCACCAACACCAAAGCCGCTGTCTGTGGATCGTCCAATGTTGCTTTCTACTGCGTCTTTGGCTGATTTCGCCACATGGGAAGAAGCCTGGGACGACTATTCAGCGTG